CAAATGTATGAGTCATTGTGTTGTCACACGGTGCCCATTATCATACTCACGATTACTAATGAGTCAGATGTACTATTTGTTTAGAAATCAACTTGAAAAATGGTAGTAGACTTAAGACTGAAGTGACCTAGCTGACAGCCTTCGTCTGTGTGGGGGTGGTGTGTTGGGGATGAATGGCACTATTATTTTATTTTCCCTCTGAGATGAAGGCGGGGCAGCAATCAATCCTGCTTGTCTAATAATGACAGTAGCCTAGCAACCCTTAACCAATGAGCTTTCAAACAGTTTTTTTTTTTGTACTCATCGTTCAAAAACTCACTTCTTGCTCAATGATCCTCATCAAAGCACCTTCACTTTTCCTAGTGGGGAGAAATTCTCACAAACATGAATGAACACAGGCTGCCCACTTTGTGTGGCGAAAGAAAACAAAGAGTGCTGTGTGCGTTAAGTGTGCCGGGTGGAGTGTGGAGTGTAATCGCTCACCTGACTATCCTTGGCAACAGGGCTTAGTGATGTTGCAGATCACATACTTGTTGCTCTCATATCTTGATATATAATTCACTCACGGGTTCATTTCATGTGTTGGCTTTAAGATCTCAACATCTATTAATTTTCAAGACAAATCTGAGCACTGGCAGAGCCTGAAGGAAAAAGGTGCCAAGCAGTAACGGATCATAGGAATGCTCCAGAGAAGGAATCCCCTCTATGTAGCGCAGATGGTGCTCTAATCTAAAAAAATGCCTCTACATATGTTCAGATTATCTTTAAAATATGTATTATTCATAGTGACTGCTAAGGGATGAGCATGTTTCCAGTCTTCAGGGAGCAAGAGGTGGGCCGGAGACAGAACAGGGCGACGACTTGGAGGATGTGATGCATAATACATTGGATTTGTGTCAGGAGACTAAATTGATAAAGGATCGGGGGAGGGCCGTAACCATGGAGCATGGCTGGCTATGGCTCTCTGAGCGTATTCAAGCTGAAGTGCAATGGAGTAAATGGCATGCTTGTGTTGGCCGGGTTAGTTGTGTGGACTTGGGTTGGTTAAAGCCTGTCAGAGCCCCGGTCTTACGTGCAGCTGCAGATCTAGAAATGTCCTCCTTTTTCCTGTGCCAAGACAGCAGGATGGGTTAGAGGTTGAGGTGCCCTTGTTGTTCGCAGGAGGTCACAGGGTCAAGCCTTGCATTATGTATTGTATTAATAACTTGTGTCCTCTAGGCCAGGGGTGCCCAACCGGTCGATCGTGATCGACCGGTCGATCGCGGGGAGATTCCCAGTCGATCGCGAGATGTGTCTAAAAATAGAACAACAACATTCTGTTGTATGTTAATGTCCTGAAACATAATCTTCCTGTCCAGAATAATGCACTTGAACGCATCAAAGCTTTGTGATTGGCCGGCGTGACCCCATGTGTCGGGGCGTGGCTGGTGGGCATTGGGCAGTATTTCGCTGACGTTGTCCGTGTCAACAGGAGTGACAGTGACACACACAAGACCGCAATTATGGCAGAAGCAAAAAAGCCCAAAATATATAATTTTCACTCCGAGTGGGAGGATGATTATTTTTGTATCTATTCCAATTGAAAGTCCATCTGTCTCATCTGCAATGCGAGCGTGGCTTTATCGAAGAAGGGTAATTTAGGAGCGGCATTTCAAAACAGTGCACAAACGCTACGAGACGGAACTCCCTCCTAATTCTGCACTACGCTCCAAAAGGGGAGGGGCCTGAAAGGACAGCTAAATGCACCGCAGTCCATTTTCACCAGGCCCAACAACAAGAGCAAGGCTGCTACCAGAGCATCTTATCGAGTCAGTCACGTTCTTGAGAAACACATGAAGTCTTTCAAAGACGGAGAAGTTGTGAAAGAAGCATTCCTGGAGGCTGCCGATGCGCTTTTTGGGGACAGTAAAAATAACAGTAGCATTTCAACAGGTTTTTGATATAATAAAAACTCAAGTTAGATACCGTTATTAATCAGCTGTAAGTTTGAGTTTGTTTGAACTTATTCATTATAATTATTGTACAAAATGGTATAAGAATGCAAACTTAAATTGATGATAGTCCATTATCAATTCAGGTTAAGAAACTAGTGTTGCTTGCATCCTATTTTTTAAAGGCATTTCTTTTTATAATCTACTAAAAGGCAACAAAAAAAGGGTTTGATTCTATTAATTGTGTCTTTTTTATTGCACTGTTGCAGCAGATTCCTGTGTAGCTTCAGATCTGAGTTGTCTTATTAGTAAGCCTAATTTATACTTTTGTAGCAACACTATTTTTATATAATGGCAAAGAAAGGGTTCAGAGTCTTTTCTTTTTTCCTGTGTCATATGTAGCAGCACTGTTCAATGTTTCTTGAAAACATTACCCACTGTAATGTGACGTGTGAATAAACTCCAACTCTGTATCAACAACACTGTTGTGTAACTTCAGTTAAATACTTGTATGTGTGTAGATTAGAAAGAGGTAAAATAAAGGATCTGCAGTATTTTATGAAGTATTAATCGTACAAAGGTCAGTTTTATACAAGTAGAAGTGTGTATGTACCTGGTAGTAGGCTGTCAGTAATGGCTACGCCTCTCTATTTGGACTGGTAGATCTCGGCAGACTGGCAACTTTAAAAGTAGCTCTCGGTTCAAAAAAGGTTGGGCACCCCTGCTCTAGGCAAACACTCCTACTTGCACCCTGTTGGTTTGGTGTCAAGATGTAAGTAAACCATGCTACTGTAAAGTGTGTTGCAGTATCTCATATCCCTTCACCTGACGACTAAGCTATCAAACGGCTTCACTTCACCCTCTCTGTATTGACATTAGACCAGTTTGATGTGCTCGTGACATCCGTGTGGTGACTGTTTGTGTGTGTTGGGATTGGCCATGCTTTTGTGGCCTGATATGGAAAAGAACATTGACTAGATGAGTGTAAACAAAAGGAGATACGCACGAGTAAAATATGATAGCAAAAAATGTGTACTTGAAGGCTAAACGGATAAAGCTGTTCGTAACAGTAACCAAATAACAGACTGCCACGCTAACAGACAAGAAAGCCTGAAGGCATTGCGATGTGCTCTTCAGGATTATTGTGAAGTTACTTCATAAACACATTCAGAAATCTTCTAATCCAATGCTGTGAACATGTATTTAAAGGAAGAAGCAACCCTCTTATACAAAGAGATGTACCTTAATCTTCCCCGGTCACACTTAACATTAGAAACCGTGGCTGTTATCTCTCGGGCAATTAACCAACATTTAATTTAAATCGCAATATGGTCATCAGTCATTTTGAAAGTGTTCTGCTATTTGTCTGGCTTCCTTTCATATGAGAGTTCACCGCTCTTGAAGTCTATCGCCTTCAAATAATGTTATTACATGGCTTACATTGTGTTTTCTGTTAGCTTAGCTTAGCCCTGGCAACAGAAAACTCCCTATATTAGATTTTGCAAGGTTGAATTATCACTTTTTTAATATTGGTATGAACCAGGTATATGTGCTAATCTAACTTGTATGCTCAACAAGTCAGGAGTGTAGGTCATTCTTGGAGCTCCTTAGTACATTTAGCCTTCAGTGAGTTCTTAGTATAGAAGGTTATGATCAAAGCTTCAAACGCCTGAGCTTTTTAAGGATCAGAGAAACAGCCGTTCTAATAATCACACCGCATAAAGTGGAATCTGGATTAACAGTGATGCTAGGCTTAATGACAAATCATTAACGTCGCATTGAACAAGGAATGTTATGAAAGAAGCAAGCAAAGATTTTTGTCAGAAGCTGCTTCTCTATGATCAGGTAGGGCGATTTGACTTTGATAGTTTATGAGAAAAAGAACCTTGACATCTTGTTCTCGTCCTCTCTGTCCCTCACCTCCCTTAAACAGTAACATGATGCTGAATGATAGAGAGAGCTTTCAGTCCGGTGCGTATATTATCGCCAGCCAGCCTTGAGAGTTAATGTTGCTCTCACCACCACAGCAGTGTGTAGTACACTTCTCTCTGCCCTGCCAGTATTTTCACCCCTATTTATACTCTGCTCGGCCAGCTGACACGACGACGGTAAACTGTTCCAATATTCCTGCTAATGACTGTGTGTCAGTGTGTGTACACAACTGACACACAACCCTAACCCTGTGCTTCCATGTTCATCGCCCATTCATAGCAGAAGTGCTGCATTACAGATTGCTTCTCTACAAAGGTTATCTTTATGGAGTTCCTAATTATAATAATTCCTCCCAGCAGTGCAGAGCCGTGTCATATTTTGGTGCTCATTTATTGTTCATCACTGTGATTTAAAGGAGTGCAGAGGCTTAAGCCTGTAATGGTAGTGCTCCTAATTGTAATAATGGAGTAGAGCAGGGTTGTAGTGGGGCTGCTCGTGGCTGTGTACTACAGGACAAACTAAGACAGGGCTGCAGTGTTCTCCGACTGGTTCAGGTCGTCGGCTGACTGCTTCTTGCTACACTGGGTCACGTTCTCCATAATCAGCTGTGGAATGTCTTGGTATTATTCCTCCCTCAACCTCAATCCGTATCAGTGTTTTCTTCCTTCGTCGTGCTCTAGACTCCCTTTGAGTCACGAGTCTGCAGGAGGTGGTCCTCCGTGTTCAGACGGCCACTGAACCATGGCTGTTTCCCCATCTCCGTGTACTTGTTTTAGGAGGTCGTATAATCACTGAGTCACTGCGGCGTGACGTCTCAGCCGAGTGTGAGTCAGTCTCAGTTGGCACACAGGTGTTGCTGTGTGTGAAGCATCATGGGGGAACAATGGAGGATTAGTTGGCAGTGTGAGGGTGTTTTCCATGAAAGCGGTAAAAAGAAGACCTTGTGTATAACTAATAAAATCAACTTTCAACTTGTCGATTCCAAAATATTTCCTTTTCTACTTTGCCAGCTGAACACATGCCAGTGTCTGGTGAAGCAAGCAGGATGGAACTAAACATATCTGGCTTTTAGTCGTGTAAATAATCCTGTACATGATGTGCAAAGGTGTAATATTCCGATATGTCATCCTCTCTCAGGTATGGCATCCGGCCAGAACACGTGATCGTGTACGGCCAGAGTATTGGCACCGTGCCCTCTGTGGACCTGGCCTCTCGCTACGAGAGCGCCGCCGTCATCCTCCACTCCCCGCTCACCTCCGGCATGAGAGTGGCCTTCCCCGACACCAAGAAGACCTACTGCTTCGACGCCTTCCCAAAGTGAGTGCACTGCATGAGACAGATGGCTCCTGCACGACAACCCTGCACATGACGAGCTCATGCTTTTAGACCTACAGTATTACAGCATCAGAGAGAGACACACACAAGCTTGCAAACAATTACATTTAGATGTTTCTAATCAATAAAGGGAGTGTTCTGAGTGAGATATTTCCTGTAGCTCCCTCTGGTGGTCGGTGGCCAAACTCGCTCTGCTTGTTCCTTTTTTCTGTGAAATGTCAGTGTTTGTATTTCTCTTTTGATTTTGTTGATTACATTTGCTTAAAGGTAGGGTAGGTAATTCAGAAACACTTGTTATATTCCATGGAATGCTCTTAACATCCCGATAGCAATGAATATATGAAATGCTTTGACAATAAATACATACATCTGTGGAAGCCGTAGCGATGTAAAAAGCTTGACCAGTCATCTGAGCCGGCCCGGCTAAAGTAACTGGATGGCCTACCTGCCTGTCAGCCTTCCATCTGTGCACAAACTTATCTCGTGCCCTCATTGGTCATGTGCGCTCTGTGTGTGTTGGAGGAGGGGCTCTGTGAGGAAGTGGCAGATTTTTCTCTCTCGAGCTGGTGTCTCCATTCTTACCTACCCTACCTTTAGCCTAGGTCTTACTTTTTTTCTGAGAGCCTGTATTTTAAACATCACTCCCTAACTTTGTTTTCTATTTCTTTTCACTCCGAAGCATTGACAAGATCTCCAAGGTGACGTCCCCAGTGCTGGTGATCCATGGCACGGAGGACGAGGTCATCGACTTCTCCCACGGCCTGGCGCTGTACGAGCGCTGTCAGCGCCCCGTGGAGCCGCTGTGGGTGGAGGGCGCCGGACACAACGACGTGGAGCTCTACGGACAATACCTGGAGAGACTCAAACAGTTTGTTGCACATGAGCTGGTCAACTTGTAGAAGAACTGGAAAGGAGGGCGGCGAGGGGAGAGTAGGAAAAAGCAATGGTTTCCAGGAGAGGGTGGATGATGGAGAAGGGTACAATGTTTTCTTTGATGTGATGCAGGTAGAAGTGGTGTTAGTCTGTGTAATCTGAAGTGTTGGTGGCAGGCTTCTCATTATCGAGCGCCTCGCCCCCTTGGAGCTCCCTTTTGTCAAAGGGGCAAAGAGCCTTTCAGTACCGTCCACTCTACATGCTGCAGCTGTGAATTTACAACCCATCAGTTTTTGTTTTGCTTTAAAATGTTGGTTTTTTTATGTTGCAATTTTCACATCCTGAGTGTGAGAATGAAAGAATGCACAGACGATATTCTGAGTGTACATGCAGTAAATGAGTGTCACATTTTGTTGCTTTAAGAAAGACATGGTCCACTGTTCCTTATGGAGGGATTTTGAGGCTGTAGAACTGGACTCTCCAACCCAGCCGAGCTCCATCTGACTCTGAGGTTCGGCCCTCCACTCTGCAGTCACCGTGTATTTCCTTTTTTGGATTACTGTTTATTATATTTTTTTATATTATACATGATTTTTGCACGTATCAGCTGTCACTGGTGTACAACACGAACTGACATTATCTAGCTGTGTGCCAGTGTTGCCAAATGTTTAGTATAATATATAGCAGAGAGTTGGACACACAGAAATGTGTACAAAATGAATCTAGAGACATCTCAAAAGCTCGGTTAGCTGTATTCAGTTCGTACTTGTCCGTTAGGTCTTAATTGGGGGAATTGAATGACTTGCAATCTAAAAAGATATGATGCAGTTCATGTAGTCGGTTAAAAGAATCGGGCTGTGTGCCAATGCCGGTTATTTCCTGCCACTCTGTCCTTTGGAAACATTTCCACAGTTACTTCTTCAAGGTAAACTCCGAAGCATTGCTGCTGTAGGTTTATTACTGCTACGCTGTAGTAGATACATGTTTCAGAACATAAAATGCTGGACAGATAAATGTAGAAACTGACACCTCTTTGGAAATGACAATATTCCCCTTTATATAGTAGCTAATATGAAACCCCGTGTTGACAGTGTTTTTTCTGTCTTTGGGTGAGAAGATAAAGTGAAATAATGTATGTAGTTATTATTACAGATCTTATGTACCTGAATCAGATCTTTAAGTTCTTTTTTTCTTTTTTTACACAAGATACGACTATGTTAACTACTGTGACAGCAGTCTGTGCTCTATTCAAGAATTATACCACTAATGCCAATCATGACTGAATGGTGCACATTATTAACGCAGCTGGTGTAGATTTATTGTTACTTCAGGAAGTTGTTAAACATTATAATGTTGCGTTTTAAGTTATTGAGAAGCTTAAAATGAATAGACGATGGGTAAGTGGCTCCGCATTAAAGGCCTCCATCATGGACGGTTTAGTTTTGTCTTAACCTGTTGTCTGCATGGTAGTTCTGGATCCATTGTTGTCCATTGATTTGCCCTTTTAATGCTGAGCTGCTAAAACAAGGAATCAGCCGCTGATGGCTCCTTTGAGACCCTGAAAAGCAAATGTCAAAGTGCTACTGCATGCCAAGAATGGCTAGTTTTTCTTTATTCTTTTCAGTCTGTGACAAACAGAGTTGAATAAGAGCTCTCAATAACTTGTTTTTATGGGTATTTTTTGGTACCTGCATTACACTAGCCTGTGTCAACAAAAGGGGTCAAATACTGTTTGTGTTAGACAATTCATCAATAAGCAAATTGGTGCTACTGTAAACTTCAGGTCTGCTCACTTACGTTAAAGAGGAAGTCAAAATTGCTTGATGTTTTGTCATCTGTTACGAAACTGTTTTTTCACAACTCATTTGTCTTATAAACAAGGTTATGCTTTTTGTTTGATTTTAACTTTGTAAATAATATTTGTACTGGACATGTCATTTTGATTTCTTTGTCTTTCACAAGCTTTCATTTCTTTCCGCTGTCATTATTCTTAATTCTCTAACTCTTTATGAGACCAAGGTAGGCCATCCTTTAGGCTTTCAGAAAACCTTTGTTCAGGTAACTTTCACTAATGTCATCTCTGATTTGATTAATTTTGTATATCATATTTCAATACAAAGGAACATATATGTAATAACAATATTAATAAAGTAATTCTAATGTGGATAGAGAAAATAAAATGGTATTTGAGAAGCAACACTTTCTGACTGAACTGTTTATTTTTGGGGGGAACTTTTAAGTTTCTTTATTTCAGGATTGCATTTTGGAGATCTCTTGTGCCGTGTAATAGGTGATATCATTCTCTTTAATAAGACATCATACAATACAGTAGTACGAATCTTCCTCCAAAAGTGATTTGACCTTGAATTATGGGAAACGGCTCTTCTCTCAGGATTTAAGATTGCCCTCATTATAGCAGACATGTCATTTGGCTGAACCAAAACAAAGCAGGTTTGTATTTTCTGTCAATGACAATAACTAAAATAGTTTACTATCTACTACTAACTCTTTCCCAGGCATTACTATGTGTTTGAGGTCTCAGAGAAACTCTTATTTCTCTTGTCATAATATCTTTAATTGTGTTGAAGTGGGTTTTCTGTGTTGTGCTTTTTGCTTAATTGAGTAAGTGAGCGATTCCTAATGAATGAATCCAACACAACAGCCCTCCATATAAAACAATATATTACCTTTTTTTGATTAAAGTAAGTTCATATGAGGGTGAAGGCTATACTGTGCTACTCCTGTATGTTCTGCATCATACTGCACCATCTGAGTTAAGATAATGTAAATGAGCTTGTGTGTTATCTATATATACAGTCTATGGTTATCATCAGCAACATGTGCTTCTGGAGCACATTTTGTATTTCCCGCAAATATATTTGAAAGCAAAAAAAGGACGAGACAATTGTGAGATTACAGAGTTTAAAAGAAAGGAAGTGGCAACAACCCTGCAGTTTAAATGTTTTGCTGCTTATGCCAATTTTTCTCTGACACTGCAAAACTGTATTTGTGACATTATTCGTGTTTATTATTGTAGAAAGTTACCTGTATTTCGTGTAGTAGCAGTAGTAGTAGTAGTAATGGAGTATTGAAAGTATACATCTCTACACAACCAGCAGGTGGCAATGTGGCTCAGTTTTAAGCCCCTCCCCTTCAGTTCGTGGTCGTGGTGAAGCGTTCAAAGACTCCTCGGATTTCATTCATTCCTTCTTAGAAAGCCTTTTAAATGTGGGATAGATACACTCATGTCACATATGACTTCATTGTAGGCTTGATCACATGCAAAACCAGCCAGTGGGTGTTTCAGCTTCAGCGTTACAAGTACGGTTTTCCATGAATTAACTTTTTCTGTTACCATGCACTCACAATTTACTGAAAATCACAGTCAAACTGTAAGTATGGAAGCTAGACGTGTTGACATTTGTTCAATACTGGCATATTGTCACAGCAGTCATCTCATGATCTCATGATAAGAGGAGTAACTAAAAACCATGAGAGGATTATAAAAAAATTATTTGGCAGCAATTTTGCGAAGAAGCTTTTTGTTAAAAAATATTTCACAGTTCCAGCTTCTTGAACGTGAAGATGCACTGCTTTTGCTTTATCATGTTTTTTTTCTTCAAGCAATGAGTATTTGTACTCCATACACTTTAAGTAGGCTACATTTTCCTAATCGTAGGTAAATACTTCTACTCAAGTACCATTCGAACTTTTACTTCAGAATCATGATCTGTTTTGTTACCAATAGGTTTGCAAATATGAGGAATTAATTAATTAAATGGTGAGTTTAACAAGACACAGAAAGTAAGTAAGAAAGTATACTTTTTTTAATTTAAGAAACGAGTCAAAAATAGGACTTTTATAACAAAATCTTAAAAAAAATATTGTAATTGTACCTTGAATACGTTTTCCACCACTGATCATTTCTAATACTTATCATGAATTCTCAATCTCATGTATCTCAAGGGCTCATCACTGTTTTTGCCCGATGAGCCCTGAACGCATCATCACTTCCTCCCTCCAAGCCGCGCCTGGTTTCTCTCGGTGGGACAGAGGGGCTGAGCGACGGACGGACGACAGCCCATCAGCAGAAAAAACACCATGTGAAGAGACGCTATAAAGAAAGGGACAAGGAAAGAAGACTTGAGAACTTATTTGTCTCTCCACCACCGGGTCAGCGTTTCCAAAGGCTCGGCAGAGAGCGAATGGATAGAGCGGGAGAGGAGCAGTCTTACCCACGGTACGTCCCGGACATTGTGTCTGTCTGTCAACGCTGGGGGTGGAGGAGGACTCACCGGGGAACACTTTAAATAGAGGTTTGTTTTTTATATAGTAAACAAGCTCTGTATTTGGGTTATTACGTTACTAAAACGTGCCAGTTGTTTTTTGTGTGTCCATGCTAACGGTTAACAGTTGTAAACGGTGCGTTGCCAACGTTACGTGTCTCTCTCAACGATTAAGTTACCTTGACTGTCAAAGTGGAGAAAAGCCACTTTTATCAGAACCAACATCTGTTTTAATATCTCTAACTTAACCTTCTGTCATGTGTTATCCTTTAGCTTTTTTGTAGTGATAAGTGTGCTATAGACAGTGGTGGAAAGTAACTAAGTACATTTACTGAAGTACTGTTGTACTATTTTGACATGTTTGTACTTTACTTGTAGTTCCATTTAATGCTTCTTTATACTTCTACTCCACTACATTTCAGAGGCAAATATTGTACTTTTTACATCTATTTAACACTCACAGTTACTTTGTACATGTAAAACACATTATATGCTGATATGGTATATTGCAGTACAGTATTACTATCTACACAGTATTTTATAGTATCTACATTTGGTCCACATTGACAAACTACAATACTAACATTATTTGGCATATATAAAAACATGAACATATATTAAACACAACAATATAATACTATGAAAAGATCCATTATGCTTAACGAGTTAATTTTGATACTTGAAATACATTCAGCTGATAATTCATCTGTACTTTATATTATTCTGAAATAGGCCATTGTGCAGCATGAGTACTTTTTGTACTTTAAGTATATTTTGATGCTAATACTTTTACTCAAGTGAAGGATCTGAGTACTTCTCCCATCACTGGCTATAAACTACCCGAGGGGACCCTTACAAATATAGTGTTTCTATATCGTTAAGAAAAGTGGAGGGCCAAAACAATAACCATAAATCAACATAAGTCAGATGCTCCCTCAATCAATGCTCACTTACTGTAAGTGTGTTTGTGTTGTTGTGACAGCGCTGTGTCAGCTACAGTTTTGTGTTAATAAAGTGAACACGTGGCTTAATGTTTTGTTACACTGCCAAACGATATGATTTACACCAAAGGTCTGTCCCGCTTTGACTCCAGTGTTTCCCCCACATCTGTTTGAGATTCAGAAGCTCTGAAATCAGAGAAATATGAGAGTGAGGGAGGCAATAAGTGCACCCTTGCTTATGAGGAAGCAGAGCAGCTGTGAAGCCTTCTGATGGGTGTGTAATTCTCTTATTCTCAACAGCCACAAGATGATTCAAAACCAGACAATGACACAAAATAATGGCAGCAGCAGTCACCATCTTGTGCCAAATGTGAGCTCTTATTCTGTTAAATGCACTCCTATAATTGTCTCTTTCTTTGATAATGCTATTGGGAACGATTCCCAAGCATCAAGAGTTCCTCCTAACACATGTGATTCAATGGCACAATAGACATAAATGTTTCAATCCATAGTCAAATATCAGCGGTGTCTTCATCCAGCCATTGTTCTAATTTTGTGAGGCTTGCAGCGTACAAAGCTTTTCCAAGAATGTAATCCCAGGACATAATTATATGGATTTAGAGTGTGATTTACAGCATTTGAATACCCCCAAGGTGAGTGAGTCCACAACTCTTTTATGCTCTGACAGTTCACTTCGTAGCAGGGGAGCGGGCCCTCCCTCTTTATGGTCAGGAATGTGAATAAAAACATCGCTTGAGATACGCTTATAAAGACTAATGTCTGGGGGGTCATCTCATCACAGGGCTCCCGTCTGAAGCAGTGCACAGGCCGTGAGAATATGAACATCTAAAGGAAAGACTGCCTGTCTTAAAGACATTCCAGTTTAGGTTGAGATGGAGACTGAAGAGCTTCTGGTTCGGACAGAGACACTGTAATGGATGATGCAGGTTGAAGTGTGTGAACAAGCTGCTCTTGGCCATGGCTCTTACTGCGTAGATCACTGAGCCCCTTGTTGAGCAGCTCTTGATTGTACATTGCTTTGTTTATCAGTTGAAGAGGTTTGTTGTGCTCTGGGCTAAAATGATGACAAATTGGCTTGGCAAGACAATGGACGGTTGTGTGTCTGTCAGTGGATCGTGTGACTGTGAACCGCTGATACACACTCGGACAGTTTCGAGCCTGAAACTCATCACTTTCAGTCAGGGTGTCTTTGGTTTAAAGGAGCCTGTTTTAGACAATTGTTGCAGTTTCTCACTTTTAACAACCTCTTAAAACTGTCTCATTCATCAAGTGATGCGGCCAGAATCCAACACGTGAAATCTAAAACTAGCTGACTTGTTGTTGATGTAGTAGCAGGCTGTAGTGTTAATAAAGTGCTACAGGCTGTTTGTCTTAAAGAAAAGTGCCATTTAAGCCTTTTTTCAGTGTCATTTCCTCTACCCCTGCAGGTGTGTGTCCATTTGACCTTTCTATGTGTGTGTGTGTGTGTGTGTGTCCATAGCTTCAATGTGTGCTACCTCCCCCAAGTGTGTATTATAAAGTGTGTATGGCTCGGGCTGGTGCACTCTCCTCTACTGTAATTGGTGCCATCTGTTTTGGCCGTGTTAACGTAGTGTAAGGAATGTTGCGATCCATTATTCACCTCCTTCTTTTCTGTGGACAGGAGCAGCCAATGTCACTCTGTCTGAGCCAAACAGCCAGGGAATATGCCCACTGTTTCTGATTGAAGTCAGTCTGTTCAAGAGCCACACCCAGGACCTTAACCTGGAGGTCCAGCAGCGAGATGGATGCTCCGAGGGTTATTGCTGTTTCCCTAGAATCAGCCTTTTCATCCTTCACCCCCTACGGTTTTTACTGTCCCGTTATGCTCTTACGGTCTTCTTCCTCCCTCCTGACATCTTTAGTCTGAACTCTTCTCTGTTAAACTCCTTGTTTGTCTCATCCACTTTATTTGACTATTTAACCAGCTTACTTGCCCACAGTTTATGCTTTAAACTTTGTGTTATTTCAATTTCTTTATGACAACAAACCAATTACTTCAGCCTAAAAGGCCGTTAAAACAATGTTATTATCTGAAGTTATTACCAAATAGGCAATAGACCTTCGAGGATGTTTTTTTCCCGAATAGTTTGGAATCACCGTCAGTGAATCCATATTAGGGATTCACAATTAATCAAACTTAAATACATCTTTTTTACAGGCAAAATATGTGTAAGTATTATTCTGAATTCGGTATTTTGTTGGGCAGACATGTCCCGCGTTTTCTAATGACCTAATCAAATATATTTTCATGGTACAAACACTCCCTCCAATATTGCGAATCATATCCCAATTATAATATCCCAACAATTATGTTTTTTTCTCCCAATTCTTGTAGCCCTGATCCACATCGTCCTCTTCCTCTCCTCAGGTAGCAGACACGGATACCATGCCGACGAGCGATGGCCCCAGCCGCTTCCCGGTCTTTGTGGCCCCGCCCAATGGAAACCACCCGAGGCCCCCGGGTTATGTCCCCGGTCGGGTGGCTCCAGTGCGCTCGCCACATCCTGCCAAAGCTCCCCCACCTCCACCGATGAAACCTCTCGGCCCCCCGCCAGAGCGACGAGCCACGTTCAACCTGTCAGAGGAGAACCAGCGCAGGGAGCGTGACCAGAACCTCCAGAAGAAAAAAAACAGCTTAATCTGCTTCGGAGTGTCCATCGGGGCTTTCTTCCTCACCCTCATCCTTGTTCTCAGTCTCTCAAGTGGAGACATTTTAGATGGTCAGTATTCAAATGTTATGTTTTTTTTTTCTTTTTATGTCTTTATGTTACCAATGGCCTCCTGGATTTAACGTAGGAGATTCATTAAGTATATCCACTGTCACTGATTGGTTCTGTTTGCAGAAAACTGTCCGGACCACGACCTGTCCCTCAGCAGCTGGAGCCCAGGCCACCAACCAGAGAAGGCTGTTATCGTCAGGAGTGGACATCTGTTTAGGCTGGAGTCTTCTGCCACCTTCCATTCTATAACCATCCAGTCAGGAGGTGAGCACACAGCAGCATTGATGGACGCACGTTTATTAAATAAAGTCACATTGTTTAGGAGTTCAGCTTTTTGATGATTTTTCGCTATTTTCGTGTCATCCACACAAAATGCTAAATCTTATGAGATTTAAAAGACATCAAAAATATATTTGCATTGGTGAAACATTTTATTTCATCCAATTCTTTAAAGGTCCCATGACATGGCCATTTCTACTGATCATAATTCCATTGTTGAGGTCTACTAGAATAGATTTACATTGTTCAATGTTCCAAACTCACATTGGTTTCTCATACAGCATCTCTGTATAATATGTGTATTCACTCTCTGTCCTAAATGCCTTGTTGGAGCTCCCCAACCCCCCCCCCCCCCACTCCCTGTGAGCCCACAGTGCTCTGATGTGTGTTTGTTAGCAACCAGAAAATGACACCAGTAATGACAAACAGATGAGAATGCTGCGTGGGGTCTGGGTGCCGTGTTGGCGGGACGTTGCGGGGCTCGCTGAAATGGAGGTCATTTTAAAAAAAAGATCTCCTTTATGTCCTCTTAGACAAAAAACAAGAACCCATAGTTCTTCCTTTCACGCCAGAGTCTGTCCTCTGGAGATGCAATAAACCTTCCAGTCTCTAGACATGACTGTGCACTGGGATATTTGTCTTTTGTCTAAATTATATTTCACATTAAGTGAATTATTATTATTAATTCTTTATGAAACTTCACCTAAATAACTTGTGTATCAAATATCCACTGAAAGTATGCTCTTAGCTCTTAGTCTTCAAAAAAATACAAAATAAATCTGGAAACTGAACGACCAATCTTTCAAGTAAAGTAATGTTTTCAACTCCTCAGCCCAGAGAGGACAAAACAAAATGTCATAGTTTTACATCTGATTTATTTATTGAGTCGATGTAACATACAGCACAAATAACTCGTATTGTTTTTCTCTGCCTCTTCCCAGGTAAGGTCGTTTTTGCAGACAACGCTGACGGCTCCAAAAACATCACCCTGAGGACCCGCCACATCCTCATAGAAGACGGTGGAGCCCTTCACATCGGGGCTCCCAAATGTCGCTACCGTTCCAACGCCACAGTTGCCCTGGTGGGTCGCTCCGACGACAAGGCGGTCGCTGCAGTGCCCGGCATGGGCCGCAAGTTCATAGGTGTGATGGGCGGTGGGACTCTGGAGCTTCACGGTGCTGAGAGGGTGTCCTGGTCACTGCTGACCCGAAGTGTCCCGGCCTCCGGTCTGAACACGGGGGGTTACTCCTTCCTGCGAAACTTCAGCAGAGGCATCAACCTGCGCGTGGTGGACCAGGACACGGCTGCTGTGCTGCTGTGCGAACGCTACGACACGCACGACTCCCGAAATGACAGCCGGCGGCTCACCCAGCTGCTGCGGACCCTCCCCGAGGGCCGCATCGTCACGCTGGCTGTGGGAGACTCGGCTGTCAAAAGTCTTCTGGACGAAACTAAGAAGGCCATTGAAGAAAAGCTCGGCAGCAGCTTCGTCTATGATCTCAAATACAGGTAGATTGAATGAATTATTATTATCAAAACGTTGACATTAATTAGGTGTATAATGTCAATACATTTCACATAATTGTATTAGGTTAATGAAAGCAGTAATTTTAAGTTGAACCTAATATTTAAACGTACTATTATTACTTTAAACCAGGGGTGTCAAACTCAAGGCCCGGGGGCCAGATCCGGCCCGCGACTTCATTTTATGTGGCCCCACAAGAGCTTGCCCCGCAGGTGCATTTATACATGGAGCACAATGCATCTCAAATTTGAATTATTTCTCAGATTTGACTTTTCTTCTTCTAAATATGCCTTTTTTTGGGATTTTTCTTTTCTTTTTAAATCATTTTGTGACATTCTCACTGAAGAGACTTGCAATTATTTGCCCCAGACTTCTGCTTTCAGACGTAGTTAATTATGAAGTTATTACCCTATCTGATAATAATCCAATGCAGAGGTAATGATGTAATATAATACATTATTTTATATATATTCAATATTTATATATGTATTTTTATATAGTATTAAAGTTACAACCGGTCCTTTAAGTGCAACCACAATGCGAATGTAGCCTGTGATGAAATTGAGTTTGACACCCCTGCTTTAAACTAACCTAATACAGTAATGTAAAATCTGTCGACATAATACATTCAATCGAAGTCAACGTTTTAGTTTTCCAGTGTAGACTTGTTAATGGTGTTTTTTCAGTAATAGTACTTATAGTAGGTTTGTGTTGCCCTGGCAAGTGTCTCTGTATACAATAATGTGTGAGTGGGGTTGTTCCCCTGCTGTGTCGCAGAAGCTCTTGTGTTGGTTCTCCATGGTGTGTTGTCTTTGTTAGTGTTTGGGAGTGTTTGTTTATTCTAGGTCTCCTGGGGCTGATAAAGGCGGTTAATGTGTTTTTCTTCGTAAGACCCCACACTTTATGGACTGAGAGCAGCAGCATTCTGATTATGCCCATCCTCCCTGGAGAATGTCCTCTTTCATCTATGTCTTTTTTCATTTGTAATGTTCCCTTGAATTGTTTTTAAGTTGTTTCTCTTCCTGTTTTTGCTACATCATGTTCTGCCTGAAAAGGAAGCACGTACAGGATAATGGGCTCAGGGTCAAAGAGTTTCCAGGATTTGCGCAAAATGTGGCGATCCAAGAGATTTGATGTTTATAATGAGAATTGACGGATACTATAGGTTTGAGCATCGCCCTATCCACATAGACTGATAATCTTTCTTTCAAATCTTAAAGCTCATAAACTAAGGTAATTGGATTTTGACTTTACCTTAGGGTTTTCTGTTACCGCCACTCAAACATGTATTTTAAAGTGTTTAGCATTTCTCTCTAAGTTATTTGTAGCTCGGGCTGGTCTTGTCCTTGGTTGACTGAAAAGCCAAGTGCTACGCCAGATTCTCCAGTGTCACATATCACCTACGGGCTGGGTGCCAAGTCTTTAAACAAATCTCAGATGAATCACACAACCAAGCCCTGCATACAGTATGTTAAGAGGTGTTTGTGGTGTGTGCGCACCAATAAGTTAACAGTATGCACTCTCTTCTTATCATGTCACTTTTATTGGAGTGGGGATTTGAAGCTTTCTGTGGATTTGCCTGTGGTTGTGAGGAAACACACAGCACACATTTTACGAGAGAGCATGCAGTTTAATGTCTCGTTAAAGTCACTTAATGTTAGGCTGAGTGATTTTAGCCTGAAAGAGTCAGGTGGTAAAGGCATGTGACCTTTAGGAGCGTCATGATGGAGTGTAGATGACTTAATGGCTGTTATGGCGTGTTGTGAACAAACGGCAGGGAATGTACCTGAAACTGATTTGTGTTGCTTGTTTGTTCCAAGCTTTTTGTTAATGTGCGTTAGCTGTAACACCTGGGTGTGGACGGACAAGCGCAATATTCAGTTAGCACAATATTTGGAAAAGGTTAAATATGTGAAAATATCAGAATACTTTACCGTATTGTAGGGCTGCACGATATTGGAAAAAACTGATATTGCGATATATTTTTTATTTATTTTATTGCGATATGAACAAAATACAGGAATTGAAGAAAAGACAATTTTTTTTGGCCGCAAACCATCCTTTCTTGAACTTTAATGCTTTACAATTGTATTTTTTAAACTATATTTAACCGGATGAAGGATTTTAGTCACGGACATCTGGGTCTTAAGTTATCAGAGCAACAAGCTGAGCTAGCTCGGTTAGCAGCGCCGAACTGCCCTGGAGAAACACATGAAAATACTTTATTCAGTGCTTTTACCTTTAATCACCGTCCGGTTGCTTTGGAGATTTGATTGTGATTGGTGGTTTGCTGTGCATGCAGAGCCTGCATGTCACTCACTCAAGTACCCCTGGCATGAGAGCCGCGCAAGTTTTCCTTTTGTAGCAAGCAGCAAAAATAATTGTAACATGACGTGTTTGAGTTAATTTGCCTACTTAATATCGCACGTGAAAAAAAGAAAATAACGTACTGCGATGTGAATATCGCGATTATCGTCACGACACGATATATCGTGTAGCCCTACCGTATTGTGAAGCTGCAGAGAAGTCCCAGCTACAGACTCAATTGAAAATAAAACTATATGTTTGGTATAGATCCTTTAAAAAAGTTACGCCATAATCATTTATAGAATTTGTATTAATGATAATGTGAATAATGTTTTCAAAATCATCATTACATCTAATATCGCGTATATTTCGCAATTGAAATGTCAGTCGAATGAATTGCAATCAGTGTATTTTTTCCAAATTGTGCAGCCATAGTGCCTTTTCATAACCCTTGTGATATACAGTAACTTATGATTGATTTGAAATAACCATTAAACCACATTTCAGTCCGAATACCCCTGATTTGATATAAGCTCATCTCAGCATCAACCCTCCTTCCTGCCCTTGATACATGTACGGCTTGGCTCCTGCCTCGTGTCTGTTGACCTTCTCCGCCTTTAATCTTTGTCTCTCAGGAAAACACTCAAACTTAAACACACGTAATCATGCCGGTCTGCGTTTGCTATTTCCTGTAAAACAATGAGGTTGTTAAAATGCGAGTGGACATCAAATCAAGGATGTATGGGGAAAGGAAGAAGTGAAATGAGCGCTGTGTCTGCACACGTCACACACTGGGCCGCAGTGAAAGTGGACTTTAAAAATTAGCTAATGGCTAAATAATCCAAATATAGTTCTCCAAGAAGTAGATACAGTGTTTTACTTCTTTTGTATTATGTTTCAAATGTGCTGTGAGTTGCTGGTGTTACTGGAGATACATCTTATTTATTATAAAGCTGAATTTGGTTTATTGAACATGAATTCTTTCACACAGAGTGACGTCACGAGCTACCCACAATGCAACACGCGCCATATAAATATATATAAATGCGCCATTTTCCTGGAGGTGCTAATATCCTGGAGGTGCTAATATAAACAGCTAGCTAACTAGCCAGGCAGAGCGCACTAGGTTTTTTTTCTGAATTAACGACCGAAGAAATCGCTGCATGTCTTCGGATTACATCTCTGGACTTGAGGGGTGTGCTCTAGGTCGTTACCAGCGTAAACTAGAGCTGTGTGGGTCGTTACAGACTGCCTGCAGATGCATGGAAAAACGACAGTGGCCTTCGTCGATTTTGGCTGCATCTACGTCTAATTTCTGGAAACACCAGGTGAATACCCCACTTGTCACAATAATATTATCATGCCATTGCATATATGTGGTATTTTAGAGTTGACTAGATATTGATCAAGGCAATAGACTATGATATTCAGCACAGGAAGCTTAGCAACACCTAGACGGTGTACGGCTGCTTGCACCTCGCGTAAAACGGCGCAGACCGGAAGTACGGTGTCGCGCTCGGCCCAATACCCGTATGTGTGTGTGAAAGAATATGTCTTTTGGCTTGTTTGGAGTTATTCCTTAAAGCTAACGACATGACATTTAAAACCTCCAAGGCTACACGTGTCATCCTTTAGGTCAGTGATTCTCAAATGGGGGTACGCGGACCCCTAGGGGTACATTGGGGTACTGCAGGGGGTACGTGAGGTAAAAATAAATAAAAAGGTTAATTAAAAAAAGACCATGCATGATTACAAAAATAATCTTAGTACAATAAGTTAAATGGAAAATACAATTGTATATAAAATATTCCTAGAACCACTAAGGGGGTCCTCATATAAACATGTTACATTTGTGTATTGTATTTATAGTTTTTAATAATATATCATTTGTTCATTGGTTTGTTAAACATATATTAATTCAATTGAAAAACTCCTTGGAAAAATCTTTTTTTTCTGCATAAAGATGAAAATATCCTTAGTTTGTTGTAATTCATGCATTAAGGAGTTAATACATCAAATGTCTGCTCACCACCTCAAGCTCAACCTTGACAAGACTGAGCTGCTCTTCCTCCCGGGAAAAGATTGTCCCACTCTTGACCTAACAATCAACATCGGCACCTCTATTGTTTCCCCGACTCAGACTGCAAGGAATCTGGGTGTGACCCTAGATAACAACCTGTCCTTCACTGCAAACATCGCTGCTACAACCCGCTGCTGCAGATACACGCTTTACAACATCAGGAAGATACGTCCCCAGCTGACTCAGAAAGCGACTCAGGTTCTGGTCCAGGCTCTCGTCATCTCACGCCTAGACTACTGCAACTCCCTCCTGGCTGGTCTACCTGCATGTGCCATCCAACCTCTGCAGCTCATCCAGAATGCAGCGGCTCGTCTGGTCTTCAACCTTCCTAAATTCTCCCACACCACTCCGCTCCTCCGCTCCCTTCACTGGCTTCCGGTAACTGCTAGAATCCACTTCAAGACACTGGTACTTGCGTACCATGCTGCGAATGGATCTGGCCCTTCCTACATCAAGGACATGGTTAAACCGTACACCCCAGCGCGTGCACTACGCTCTGCATCAGCCAAACGACTCTCTGCGCCCTCGCTGCGAAGGGGACCCAAGTTCCCATCGGCGAAAACACGTGGGTTTGCTGTCCTGGCTCCAAGATGGTGGAATGAGCTCCCCATTGACATCAGGACAGCAGATAGCTTGCACATCTTCCGGCGCAAACTGAAAACTCATCTCTTTCGACTCCACTTCGAGCGTTAGAACTATTAACGAAGCACTTTTATACTAATAAAGGACTGGCTTACCTAAAGCCAGTTGAGTAGCACTTGAAATGTTTGGCTCTATGAAACCTGATGTACTTATATGATTCTGTTTTCTTCAAGGTTGTGTCTTCCTGGTCGAATGTACTTATTGTAAGTCGCTTTGGATAAAAGCGTCAGCTAAATGCAATGTAATGTAATATAATGTAATCAAACACTGAGGGAACATCACTCTATTGTAATTATTTATATAGGCTTTTTCTGTCAAAAATGTCCGGGGTCGGTCAGGGGGTACTTGGCTGAGAAAATGTTTCAAAGGGGGTACATTACTGGAAACAGTTTGAAAAGCACTGCTTTAGGTCATACACCCTCTCAATCCCTTTCCCCACCCACACCCTCAAGCTCCCCTGATCAAATGATTCCAGACTCTCCTTCTCATTTAATCATTGTAATATCATTTATTATACATTTGTTCACATTCCTGCGTTATCAGATAGTTTGCAATGGATTGAGAAGAGAGGCTTTGGAGTAAAAATAAAGAGTTGAAATGTGGCAGGTACGCCCCGGCCCCTTAATCCTCTGAGACACTTTCGTTTTTTTCACCTTTCGTTTTGTATCATTTCATGATAAACACTGTGATTGGCCCCGTCCCAACCTGCGCTAGGATCACTGCAGACATTTGCTGTGCCTTCAGGGCGATACAATAGTGACTTATTTCAACTCAAACACAGGGTAACATTTTGCAGTTCAGGTCACACCCTCTATCGGACCGGCTGTCTCATCTGTAAGATATTACGATCACTGGATTTGAATGTCCTGTTTACATTTTCAATCACTGAGACTGGGCCGCTACTTCTGGTGCTTCCACTCGAGACTGCAGTTACATCGGCAAAGAGTAGAGACCGTTGACTAGGGCTGCACAATGAATCACAATGTTATTGATGTACTAGTTCAATATCCAAATTGCAAGGAGAACAATATTTGTTAAACGGATGAATTAAGTTTGATGGTGCTCAAGTTATCCCAACCCATTCATTTTATTCTACTGTCTTATTTTAGCTACATTTGTATTTGTTACGGATCCTCTTTAAAAAGCATATTATTAATATTGTGATAAACCTTTAAAGCAAAAGCAGGATTCTGATGCTTGGATGATTCTTTCCTCTTACATCGTAAATCACATCACAATTGCAATACCTCTCAAAATAATCGCAATAAGATTTATTTCTCACAAATCGTGCGGTGCTGCTGATGGTGAGTTTGCCATTTAAATGATGAGCCAAGTGACTTGATAATAAACCATTAATAACTGCTTTTACTTTCCACTACAATTATTTTCATCATTCAGAAAGAATGTGTTTCAAAGCTTGAGCCCTGAATCGGGTCCGTATGTTGTTCTTTGATGACGATGTGTTAAACTAGTCTATGTATTAGGGCTGCTCAATTAATCGTATTTTAATCGCGATTATGGCTTGCAACGATTACGAAAACAACGTAATCGAAATATAACGATTCTTTTTTTAATTATTATTATTCTTTTTTTTTTTTGTATTGGTTTTTCAGTTGTTATACTTAAAGTTCAGGGTGATCAACTGTTAGAAACACACTGCTCACATCTTTTACTCCAATAAATTGATGTTTTCAAAGTAAACGGATAATCGTTTTTAATAATCGTGATATCAATTATTGACCCAAATAATCCAGATTATGATTTTTGCCATAATCGAGCAGCCCTACTATGTGTTGTGATTTCTGAAAATGACTCCCTCTCCTGACGTGTCTCTCCCCTTGTCCCTCTGCTCTCCCCCCTTGGCCCTCTGCTCTCCCCCCTTGTCCCTCTGCTCTCTCCCCTTGTCCCTCTGCTCTCTCCCCTTGTCCCTCTGCTCTCTCTCCTTGTCCCTCTGCTCTCCCCCCTTGGCCCTCTGCTCTCCCCCCTTGGCCCTCTGCTCTCTCCCCTTGTCCCTCTGCTCTCCCCCCTTGGCCCTCTGCTCTCCCCCCTTGGCCCTCTGCTCTCCCCCCTTGGCCCTCTGCTCTCCCCCCTTGTCCCTCTGCTCTCTCCCCTTGTCCCTCTGCTCTCTCCCCTTGTCCCTCTGCTCTCTCTCCTTGTCCCTCTGCTCTCCCCCCTTGGCCCTCTGCTCTCCCCCCCTTGGCCCTCTGCTCTCTCCCCTTGTCCCTCTGCTCTCCCCCCCTTGGCCCTCTGCTCTCCCCCCTTGGCCCTCTGCTCTCTCCCCTTGGCCCTCTGCTCTCCCCCCTTGGCCCTCTGCTCTCCCCCCCTTGTCCCTCTGCTCTCTCTCCTTGTCCCTCTGCTCTCCCCCCTTGGCCCTCTGCTCTCTCTCCTTGGCCCTCTGCTCTCTCCCCTTGTCCCTCTGCTCTCTCCCCTTGTCCCTCTGCTCTCTCTCCTTGTCCCTCTGCTCTCCCCCCTTGGCCCTCTGCTCTCTCCCCTTGGCCCTCTGCTCTCCCCCCTTGGCCCTCTGCTCTCCCCCCTTGGCCCTCTGCTCTCTCCCCTTGTCCCTCTGCTCTCCCCCCTTGGCCCTCTGCTCTCCCCCCTTGGCCCTCTGCTCTCTCACCTTGGCCCTCTGCTCTCCCCCCCTTGTCCCTCTGCTCTCCCCCCTTGTCCCTCTGCTCTCTCACCTTGGCCCTCTGCTCTCTCACCTTGGCCCTCTGCTCTCTCCCCTTGGCCCTCTGCTCTCTCCCCTTGGCCCTCTGCTCTCTCCCATTGGCCTTCTGCTCTCTCCCCTTGGCCCTCTGCCCCCCCCCCCCCCCTTGGCCCTCTACTCTCCCCCTTGGCCCTCTGCTCTCTCCCCTTGGCCCCCTTGGCCCTCTGCTCTCTCCCCTTGGCCCTCTGCTCTCTCCCCTTGGCCCTCTGCCCCCCCCCCTTGGCCCTCTACTCTCCCCCTTGGCCCTCTGCTCTCTCCCCTTGGCCCTCTGTCCCTCTGCTCTCTCCCCTTGGCCCTCTGTCCCTCTGCTCTCCCCCCTTGGCCCTCTGTCCCTCTGCTCTCTCCCCTTGGCCCTCTGTCCCTCTGCTCTCTCCCCTTGGCCCTCTGTCCCTCTGCTCTCCCCCCTTGGCCCTCTGTCCCTCTGCTCTCCCCCCTTGTCCCTCTGCTCTCTCTCCTTGTCCCTCTGCTCTCCCCCCTTGGCCCTCTGCTCTCTCTCCTTGGCCCTCTGCTCTCTCCCCTTGTCCCTCTGCTCTCTCCCCTTGTCCCTCTGCTCTCTCTCCTCCTTGTCCCTCTGCTCTCCCCCCCTTGGCCCTCTGCTCTCTCCCCTTGGCCCTCTGCTCTCCCCCCTTGGCCCTCTGCTCTCCCCCCTTGGCCCTCTGCTCTCTCCCCTTGTCCCTCTGCTCTCCCCCCTTGGCCCTCTGCTCTCCCCCCTTGGCCCTCTGCTCTCTCACCTTGGCCCTCTGCTCTCCCCCCTTGTCCCTCTGCTCTCCCCCCTTGTCCCTCTGCTCTCTCACCTTGGCCCTCTGCTCTCTCACCTTGGCCCTCTGCTCTCTCCCCTTGGCCCTCTGCTCTCTCCCCTTGGCCCTCTGCTCTCTCCCATTGCCTTCTGCTCTCTCCCCTTGGCCCTCTGCCCCCCCCCCCCCCCCTTGGCCCTCTACTCTCCCCCTTGGCCCTCTGCTCTCTCCCCTTGGCCCCCTTGGCCCTCTGCTCTCTCCCCTTGGCCCTCTGCTCTCTCCCCTTGGCCCTCTGCCCCCCCCCTTGGCCCTCTACTCTCCCCCTTGGCCCTCTGCTCTCTCCCCTTGGCCCTCTGTCCCTCTGCTCTCTCCCCTTGGCCCTCTGTCCCTCTGCTCTCCCCCCTTGGCCCTCTGTCCCTCTGCTCTCTCCCCTTGGCCCTCTGTCCCTCTGCTCTCTCCCCTTGGCCCTCTGTCCCTCTGCTCTCCCCCCTTGGCCCTCTGTCCCTCTGCTCTCTCCCCTTGGCCCTCTGTCCCTCTGCTCTCTCCCCTTGGCCCTCTGTCCCTCTGCTCTCTCCCCTTGGCCCTCTGTCCCTCTACTCTCTCCCCTTGGCCCTCTGTCCCTCTGCTCTCTCCCCTTGGCCCTCTGTCCCTCTGCTCTCTCCCCTTGGCCCTCTGCTCTCCCCCCTTGGCCCCCCCCTTGGCCCTCTGCTCTCTCCAGGCAGGCGTGGGCTCTGGTCTCGGTGGTGGGTGGAGGAAACGCTTCATGCGCAGAGGACGTCAAGGAACATGAAAACCACAACACAGGAGGAAGAGCTCTGGCAAGGCGCAACTTCACCACCGTCGATGGAGTTGACTTCTCCGTCACCGCCTACAGCGAGTGGAAGACCGGTGAGCTTATGATTGTAGCTTTTCAAACAGCCGTAAGAAAATATCCAGCAACGGTCCATCTTTTTTAGTTTAACCTAATGTCCTGTTGTGGAGCCATGTCTAAGCTATAAACAATAATACTAAGCTGTCCAAGTGACATGGACAGGTTCCTCTGGCTTTGAAGTGGTAAAGTGTTTGGAGAAGTGTGACATGTTGAAGAATGCTTAACAGATCAATCATCTGAACATGAAAGACATTCTTGTGCCTGAGTAGGTGCAGGGGTTTTGTTACTATGACTTTATGACAAATACCAGGTCTACTAGAACACCCACTGTTTATTTTGTGCGGGCGTCCTTGTGCACACCTAATAACATTCACTTTGACAGTGAGTCACTCAACTCTCAAGTGAACAATTATAATTAACTAGTGTACTCCTACTGTGTTTTACTATTATTTGGTGAGATATTGCCCTCGGCGACTAATAACTGCTGGACACACTCATATGATTTATTTTCATTGCTTTACAAAATCTCTCAGTGCTTATTAAACTATTCAGCAGCAATATTCTTCATTTCTATTCAGTGTAAATGAATGAATTCTTTATGCATGCAGAAGAAACAAATCTAATGTCATTTTAATATCCTTTTTTCTCCTTTATCCCCATTCTGTTTCCTAATTCCTTGATTGGAATTAAGAATGAATGGGCTGATCCTAGTGTAATGTTATTTTTGCTAAATGTGTTATGAAAGAAATTCTATAATATAATCAAAAATTCTGTCCTACATGATTTCAGTTTTGCTATTTTCCTTATCTTCCCCAGGCTTCCCCATCACAGGCTTCCAGGTGGATGCTATGGACCAGGTGCTGCTGAACCTGCAGGATGAAGTGCAGCAGACCTGGCAACCCGGGGATCAGATTGTAGTTGCCAGCACAGACTACTCCATGCATCAGGCGGAAGAGTTTACCTTGTTGCCCTGCTCCCACTGCAGCAGCAGGCAGGTCAGGATACAAGGAGGTGTGTGTGTTGGGTTGTGTGTGTGTGTGTGTGTGTGTGTGTGTGTGTGTGTGTGTGGTGTGTGTGTGTGTGTGTGTGTGTGTGTGTGTGTGTGTGTGTGTGTGTGTGTGTGTGTGTGTGTGTGTGGTGTGTGTGTGTGTGTGTGTGTGTGTGTGTGTGTGTGTGTGTGTGTGTGTGTGTGTGTGTGGTGTGTGTGTGTGTGTGTGTGTGTGTGTGTGTGTGTGTGTGTGTGTGTGTGTGTGTGTGTGTGTGTGTGTGTGTGTGTGTGTGTGTGTGTGTGGTGTGTGTGTGTGTGTGTGTGTGTGTGTGTGTGTGTGGTGTGTGTGTGTGTGTGTGGTGTGTGTGTGTGTGTGTGTGTGTGTGTGTGTGTGTGTGTGTGTGTGTGTGTGTGTGTGTGTGTGTGTGACCCTCTGCTTATCAGATTTGCTTCTAATCCTCAGAGACATATAATTTCCTGGTCAGCTGTTGCGGCAATATAAGATAAGAGCAGGCTAAAAAGAGGCTGCCAGCTTATGTTTTTTATAATAACCTCATCTCATAATAACCAGGGTGGTTTTGTGGGTTTTGAAACGTCACCTCGACGTCACATCCTTCCTTTTTCTTCTGCTTCTCCAAAGACTTGATCCAAAATCTGTTAGTTAGTTAGTTTTTGTCCACCTCCCCATCAATATGTTTCCTGATGTCATTCCTCCGTTGACAACAAGCGCCAACTCCCTTCCTGCAGATAAGGGCGTGTTTGTGCGCCTAGATTTAGTTTTTCTGCGTGACCGTGAGGAAGGGCCGAGCAGCTGGAGCGTCGCTGTGTGTTATCATTGGCAGCTGCAGCCTGTGGGCACTGCATCAACAGTTGATTATTTTATGTTCATATGTATTTGATTACTTTTGCTTTACTGTAGTACATTTGTATTATTTCGGTTGGTTGGTTTTGTGGCGTGGGTAGTTGTTTGCTTTCTGGCATACTTCCTGTGACCGACAGTTTCCAGAAATAAAATACCTTAGTTGAGCTTAAATGTCACTTCCTGTTTGCTAACGCGTATTTTACTGAAAGGGTTTGAGTCTAAGAGAAAGGTTCCACAAGAATTAAGGGCTAATTTGTGTTATGTTATTCAGCTAAATTAAATTACTTTCAACAAGTTTTCATCGGCTTCATTTAAAATAAATGGAATGCAATAATTGACATTTGTAACTATACTAAATAATCAGGTTTGTCCAATTATGCACCAGATGTTCCTGTAAAGTGTCAGTTAGTCGTAGCATATGACCAAGAATCTACCTGTGTGTGTGCCCAGGGAAGCCTCTGTACAACCACGTTGGAGAGATCTTAGACGGGGTGGACATGCGAGCCGAAGTGGGTTTGCTCTCCAGAAACATTCTCATCTACGGGGAAATGGAAAACTCGTGCTACGGAAACAACGCGTGCCAGTTCTTCAGCCACGACACCTACGGAGGCCATATAAAGGTGTGTCTTTGTGTGTTTGTGTATGTTATAGCACGGCCCTTGTATAAACTATATGTCTGTATTTGCTAATGTATACGTCTGTAATTTTCAAAATGGCTTTACACGCTCATTTAATCAGCTTGACAGTTTCCATACTGCAGAGTGCAGAGCTAAAATGATCATTTGTTCTATGTTTAAGTGCTCCTTAATTAAAAGGGATTATTCATTTTTTTCTAGTTTTTCTGAATTATGACTACTTCTCATTCTCTCTGTGTTTCTCCTCTTTGCCTCTTCATCTCAAGTGTTTATTCTAAAGACATCATTACATTGCATTTAGCTGAGGCTTTTATCCAAAGCGACTTACAATAAGTACATTCGACCAGGAAGACACAACCTTGAAGAAAACAGAATCATATAAGTACATCAGGTTTCAAGAGCAAAAACATTTCAAGTGCTACTCCACTGGCTTTAGATAAGCCAGTCCTTTATTAGTATAAAAGTGCTTTATTAGTATAAAGTGCTTTGTTAATAGTTCTATTGCTCGAGGTGGAGTCGAAAGAGATGAGTTTTCAGTTTGCGCCGGAAGGTGTGTAAGCTATCTGCCGTCCTGATGTCAATGGGGAGCTCATTCCACCATCTTGGAGCCAGGACAGCAAACCCACGTGTTTTCGCCGATGGGAACTTGGGTCCCCCTCGCAGCGAGGGTGCAGCGAGTCGTTTGGTTGATGCAGAGCGGAGTGCACGTGCTGGGGTGTACGGTTTAACCATGTCCTGGATGTAGGAAGGGCCAGATCCATTCGCAGCACGGTACATCAGATAGATGAGTGTCACACAGGGCTGTAACTGGAGCATCAGGTCCACCTTGACCTACATGGATTTATAAAGCCACTGAGTTCACTTTAATTTGATTAATGATGGTCCTATTTCATTCACTTTGGTGGCAAAAACACAATAACATTCCTTTGGCTCTATGTAACTGCCCCCCTTTGTGCTGGAGGAAATAAATACTCCTTCCTTGTTTCTTTCCACCAGTTTTTACAACATAAACTCTCGGACTATATTACACATTCTGCCTCCAAACTGATTGACCTCCCATGCCTTAAGCTTAAACAACAGTGCAATCACATGTATAGCACTCAGCATTCATTGCATATTTAACTCAATGCATTTGTCACGCAACTCCAAACTGGACATGGATGTAATAACACGTTTGGCAGACGTTTTAACAGTTGTGTTAATATGTATGCATATATGAATGCAAGAACTCATACATGTGTGCGTCCTTGCGTTGATGTTCTGTGTATACCTCAAGTATTCATATCTAGAGGCATCATCTGCAGCATAGATCGTGTGTGTGTGTGTGTGTGTGTGTGTGTGTGTGTGTGTGTGTTAGCTGGAAGCATTGGCCAATACCTCCCTAACAGGAACCAGACTTTGTGAATTATGCCATGCCCACAGAAAACCTCCTAGAGAGCATTGTGCTGCATATTTGTTGTATTGAATTAATAATTGATTCATGTTTGACTTCTTTTGCTCCCCAGTCCATTTGGAGTTTTGGATGTGTGCAATATGTGTTCAGTTTGTGGTTTAACTTCTATAACTCGCATATCTTAATCATCAAGAGGAGCATCAGTGGTGTTGCTGCAGTTTGACTCTGGAGCAGTTGTATCACAGACAAACACAGATAATTGTACTGTAGACCATAATGGGACCACATTGGTAGACAGTGAGCTTTCTCTTGGGGCATCATTTGAACCTTGTGCTGCCCTCCACAAAGCCAGTGAGTTTCCTTTAGCGGTTTAAAAAAGGCTCTTGAATTATTTTGAGTGTTGACCCTTTTCCTTTCTACCAAACATGGGCAGATCTTGGGTAACTTCTCATCCGTGCATCTGTCCCACGTGGAGCTGAAGAACATGGGCCAGCAGGGCGAGATAGGCAGCTACCCGCTCCACTTCCACATGTGCGGGGATGTGGACCAGAGGGGGGGCTACCGGGAGCCCACCTACGTCGACGGACTCTCCATACATCACTCCTTCTCCCGCTGCGTCACCATCCACGCCACCAACGGTCTGCTGGTGAGTAAAGTGTGTGTGTGTGATGAGCAATTGTTCACCGTTAGAGATGACAAAGAAAAAGCAGCTGTCATTACATTGAATCACAGAACAGCTCTCACTAATACGTACCAGATGCTGTTGAATACTCATCATTTGCAGCCTGTTCCCTCCTTCCTTTTTCTTCCTCTCCCTCTCATTATTCTCCTTAATCTCACCCTTCAAACCTGAGATACACTAGTTTGCAAAAAGTGTTTTCAACAAATGTAAATGTTTTTATGTTTAACCCTCCGGTATCATTCGATTGGACGACGCAAATGAGTCATTCCAGACAAAAATGTCCACTGCCAAAAACTTTGATAAAAACATTATATCAAAAGGTTTTTTTCTCAACTTTTTTGGGTTCAATCTTTAAAGCAACTTCCGACCTAATCAAAAATACCACATATTTAATCATTTTCAGGATTTTAACCCTTTAAATGCCATTTTGAATACATGAAATCTCTGTTGTTTTTCATGATAAAAACAGAAAATAAGTTATTTTCCATAGAGAGAGGCGAAGTCCCGCCCATCTACTTCCGCCCCATGGGACCTTATTTCGGAAAAATTATGTATTGAAGTCAATGGAATTCTGCCACGAATTACACACATGATGTTTGTCAATTTTAAAAGATAATTTCCGTGTCAAAAAAGTCACAGTTTGTCTTAAAACTGTTGAAATATAAGACTATGAAAAATACGTAACTAGAAAGACTACAAATACCAGAATCCCAGTTCCGCATGCTGGCTCTTACGAACCGACTAACTCCCCTTGTGTGTATGCACAGCTCTCAACGTGCTCAGACTTGTAGTGATTTTCTCCTCTTTTAATACTTTTCGCCTCATTCTGAAAGAAAGAAGTGAAATGTTTCAACGTGACGGCCGTCTTGGTGTGTGGTGCGAGACGGGAGATGTAGTTCATTGAGCGGTTTCACACAAAACAAAGTGTTACTTCACAGTTTAACACATTTGTATTTTTTTGACTTGCAAAGTTATCTTTTAAATCGACAAACATCATATGTGTATTTCGTGGCACAATTCAAACGGGATCAAAAGATAATCTTTCTCTCCCCATTGACTTCAATACATAATTTCTCCGAAATAAGGTCCCATGGAGCCCCCCCGGAAAGGGAGGGACTTCGCCTCTCTATAATACTGAAACTTTTTTTTCTGACAAATGATTAAATATGTGGTATTTTTGATTAGCGCTGAAGTTGCTTTAAAAATTGAATCCAAAAAAGTAGTGAAAATCTTTTAATATCATGTTTTTATCAAAGTCTTTTGCAGTGGACATTTTTGTCTAGATAAGCGTAGTCGATTAGTTACACAGTGAATTAAAGACCGATTTGAAAAATGTAAATTGGAATTCCAAAATAGATCGAGAAAATAGCCTTGTTACAAAAATCAGGCCATTTGCACCAACACAACCAAAGCTATTGCAAAATGAAAAGTGAAAAATGACCCATATGGACAAAAACGTCCACAGTGATACCGGAGGGTTAAGTGAAATTATGAAACACACATATATCTGTCAACTGCAAAACCATTGCTTCTTTAGGTGTGAGTGTTTGTCCCCCCTTTGACGTCAAACAGGGACTGGTTCACTTTCTGTCCTTGAAGCCACAGTATTGAAAGCAATCTTCCTGTGTGCATCAAGGAAATGGAATTGTACAAAGTTTGGGATAACATTGTTTGACTGCTGTTCTTCCTGTTTCCCTTCTGGCACAGTGACCATGTGAACATTTCTTTATTGCTTGTCTTCTCTGTGGGACAACACAAAAATACGTTCCTTATAGGAAAATATTTGAGGAATTTGAAGTATTCACGGAGCCTGTTCTGTATTTGTCCTGTGGGCCGTTGACGAATACAAGATGGACTCAAATGTGTTTGCCCTCTTGTGTTTACCAAGATGTTATGCATACTTCAATTTGGTGTATGCTACCTCCCTGTTTGGATAGGGAACCTCTCTCATCAATGGGATATAGAATTGTAGCCTCATTCAAGAACTCTACTCTTAAAATCCTCCTTTGGTTCTTTCTCACTTTTAAATATCCTTTGGTCTTATTCCTTTCCTGCAGGTGAAGGACACTGTGGGCTATGACACCCTGGGTCACTGTTTCTTCCTGGAGGATGGGATCGAGCAGCGTAACACCTTCTTCCACAACCTGGGCCTGCTGACCCGCCCCGGGACTCTACTGCCCACCGACCGCAACGAGACCATGTGCACCAGCATCAAGGACAAAGTCTACAAGGGCTACACCCCCTCACCCAGCACAGAGTGCAAGTAAGATATAAGGATAAGGAATTTGTGCATCTCTGGTTGGAGATATGAGCAAACTGATAAAAGACATGCTTTCTGAAACATCATAAAGCATGTCTTTAAATAGCAACACAACCACCGCAAGTCCTGGACAACATCTTGGGATTCCTTACTTTATGATACTGTAAAGTTAGATCATTGGCTGTAGCAATCAATGATTACCAGTGTATGTGCTGTACACCCATCACAATGAATTGAATACGACGTAAGTACACACTTAAAACGATCATCTCAAAATCATCGTTTACATTTTACAGTGTTGTTTTTATTTTGCATTCCTATTCTTGGTGGTGCAGACTTTCTGAACCACCATCATAAACACATGGATGTCCATTTGTATTGTTCTAGAAAGAGGCTCTTTCTCACCAACCATTAATACAAAAGTGCCTTACTGTCAATCAGCAGCAGCTGCATTGCAAAGACCCTGGGGTCTTGTTAAGCAATGAGACTGAGGGTAATTGTAATAATGACAGATAATACCGGTAGTAGGATCACTGACAGCTGAGAATAAGCCAACATCTTGACTGTAAAGTAGCAAGATATTTAGGGAAGGAAATAAGTGAGCGTATGCCTTATCTTTAAACCCACTGACTAACAGGAGAAAAACAACACAAATGATTCCTGCCACCAGCTTCTTCACTGACATTAAAGGCTTTGACTCTATGTCAAGTGTCCGTGTGGGAAATCTGGTGATAGCACACACACTCTGAGAGAAGACAGAAGGTCCATGGCCCTGTGAAATAGATACTCAGTTAGTATTGGTATGTGAGAGAGATATTGCAGGCGCGTATTATCCATGAAATAACAACCTCTGCTCCACATGGGATGTTTTTATTCCGTGTGTGTGTGTGTGTGTGTGTGTGTGTGTGTGTGTGTGTGTGTGTGTGTGTGTGTGTGTGTGTGTGTGTGTGTGTGTGTGTGTGTGTGTGTGTGTGTGTGTGGTGTGTGTGTGTGTGTGTGTGTGTGTGTGTGTGTGTGTGTGTGTGTGTGTGTGTGTGTGTGTAGTGTGTGTGTGTGTGTGTGTGTGTGTGTGTGTGTGTGTGTGTGTGTGTGTGTGTGTGTGTGTGTGTGTGTGTGTGTGTGTGTGTGTGTGTGTGTGTGTGTGGTGTGTGTGTGTGTGTGTGTGTTGTGTGTGTGTGTGTGTGTGTGTGTGTGTGTGTGTGTGTGTGGAGCCCAGGGAGAGGTGGATTATCACAGGTTTCTTTGATCTCTGTCTTCTGCTTATTAGTCACAGTCTCTGTCTTGTTTAATATCTGTTCTGCTTGTGTGTGTTTATGTCTCTGTCTTTGTCTCTGTGTGGTGGGGGTGTTTTTCAGGGCAGTTTCCACATTCTGGATCGCCAACCCCAACAACAATCTCATCAGCAACGCAGCTGCTGGTTCTCAGGTAATAACATCAGAGTTACGTAAGGCAACATCTTCAACTATGTATAAGTGATTCATAAAAAACGAGTAGTCAACGAGTAGAGCCCCCTATTAATTTATAATGTAAATTAAATGAAGTGAAGCACTGGCTTTGGTGTTCCTGATCTTTACAAAATGAAAGATGTTCATGCTCGTAACACATTGATCCATCAATAAATAGGATTTAACGGGCTTTTAGTTTCTGATAGGAAGGATGCAATAACATCGTAAGACAAGATAAAAGTAGTAGATCCCTTATCTAGTCTATTTTTCATTTTAGCACAATCATCCAGGAGGTTCACTGAGGAGGGCTGTAGGGGTTGGGATTTTCAGTCTAAATCTATTAAAGCGTAAACTTCGATGAACTATGGAGCTCATATGAACTCTTACACCTGACTTACCCTCTGTGTGGAGCATGTAATATGACATCCTGCCTTGTTCTGCGTAATGGTTTAGCATGGACCCTCAACCTTCAGATGATATGTTCATAAACCTGAATAATGAAATTCTTGCTGCTGCTGCCCAGGCGTGCCAGGAACGTGATCTTCCACCTCATCTCTCCCTTCCTGTTGCAGGATGCTGGCATATGGTTCGTGTTCCACAGCTCTTCCACCGGAGACTCTCATGGGCTGGTACCAGAGACCAAGGCAGAGCTCACACCCCTGGGGATTTTTTACAACAACCGCGTACACTCCAACTTTAAGGTACCACCACTAGGGATGTAACGATATACCGAATATCGCGGTAAATAAACGTCCCAATGAGACTGACAACATCTACCGGGATTTTTTTTTAAATTAATTATTATTATTATTATTTATTTTTTAAAACACTTTTTTTGTTTTAAACCTTTATTTAACCAGATGGTCCCATTGAGATCATCGATCTCTTTTTCAAGGGAGACCTGTCCAACATGGCAGCAAGTAGGTTACAACATGAACATAAAACAACAGAACACAAAAGGACATCGTATTTACAGGGCTACATTTACACACCTAGAGACATTGACAAGTACCAACAGTATATTTATATCTCTGTCAATAAGCCTCACCTTCTTGGCAACAACTGTATTGTTTTTGAAGTGGTGGAGAGACAATGCACAGTTTGACCCACTGCTGTCACCCATGGCCAAAGCATATCTCTCCGTCCCACTGAGGTGGGGTTAGACTTTTTCGCTGTCCGTCATTTTGACAGACAGGATCGTAAAATATCCGTCATAATCCCTTATTACCCGTCGGGTCTGAACTGTTCAGACCCGAGGGGGCGGTGTTATGCCGTGTGTGCATGCACCTCGCGGGAGCGCACACAGCGTAAAGCAAAACCTCCCAGACATGTGTTGATCTGTACCGCAAAGTACGGTTTGGAAACTATATCATTTCCTTTTGGAGGGCATGCATAACGCGGCATAACACCAGAGCCTCGCTGCGGGGAAACGTTGGCGCTGTTCCGAGTTTGTTCTAATCTGTCAAAATGACAGACTGCTTTCAGATTTTTCCGTCATTGATAAATAAAATATTCGGTTAACGCGACCACTGCTGTCCCAGCAACATCAGTACCAAGCGAGAGAGTTTTTTCCAGAGCAGGGGATATTGTAAATGCCCAAACATCCCAGCTTATAAATACCTGGAAATGTGGACATTCTCATATTCCTAAAAACCTGTCTGAGTGAGTGACTAGTGAGTTTGAGTTGAGTTACTTGAAAAACTAAAGTGAAACTTGATTTATTTTATTGCAGGGTCTGATTATTAAATGTTTATTTGTGAGATGCAGTGTCACAAAGAAAATGCCTACTTTGTTTGGTAGTACTATAGGTACACAAACACTGGTTTTCTTGTTCCAGTCTGTTACTGTCACTTTGTTTTTGACCCTTTAAAATGCTGCTATCCTACTAAAATGCTGCTATCCTACTAAAATGCTGCTATCCTACTAAAATGCTGCTATCCTACTAAAATGCTGCTATCCTACTAAAATGCTGCTATCCTACTAAAATGCTGCTATCCTACTAAAATGCTGCTATCCTACTAAAATGCTGCTATCCTACTAAAATGCTGCTATCCTACTAAAATGCTGTACAAATCAGATTTATTATGTAATAAAGAAACAGTTTCCGAATTTATTTTTAATTTGTTTTCCTTTTTCTTTATTATTCAATATCGCGATAAATACCGTACCGTGGACTTGTTATCGCGATATTATCGTACCGTGAGTTTTTGGTATCGTTACATCCCTAATCACCACTGTAGCTTATCTTTTAGCCTTTCATTTTCTATGTCGCCTCAAGTCAGTGTGTGCTTTTTCTACTGTATACACAAGGTGCCAAACGTCTTCTGCTTCAGCACACACACACACACACACACACACACACACACACACACACACACACACACCACACACAACACACCACACACACACACACACACACACACACACACACACACACACACACACACACAGCCCTCTACAATAGTGCTCTGTTGTGTAAGGACAGAAGTCGGGCAGGTGAACTGTACGCTCTTTGTTCAGTGTGACCACAGAAGCCTCTCTCACAGGATCAACTCCAGGTTTCCACATACCTGAGACACAGACTTACAACTTTTTTCTTAGAATGCATTTTACAATTCATTTTCTAAACATACAAAAATAAACCATATGTTCCGGGCTGTGTAAACATACAGTACGTTTTCTTACAAATTGCTCCGAGGATTACCACCGTTTCTGTCCGCAGGCTGCTTTACTGCATGACTCTGTGGGCCCAGGATTTAAATGTAGTACGTTTTTTATTGCCTCAGGTCCCACACTGAAGTACACTAGTCGTCTTGTTTATGTGAGTTTAGCAGGAATAGATCTGTGGCCCATCTTGGATCTCTTTCTGTAATTTTATGGAACATCTGGCGATAAAATGTAATCATACTCACATTTTTCTAGGCAGGGCTGTTCATCGATAAAGGAGTGAAGACCAGCAATGCCAGCGCTGCGGACCCCCGGGAATACCTGTGTCTAGATAACAGTGCCAGGTGTGTATGTGTGTGCAAAAGCATTTACATTTTGAAGACGTGATTTATGTGAAAAGATAATAATTACTATTTTCTTATGGTTTTTGACATCTCAATGAATTAGTTGCTAGTTATTGGTTAGTGACCTACAACTCACTAGTACAATATACAGTACACTTTACTGTACATGTTGTTAAACAAAGTGTAAACTGTGCGCTATCAGGGGGACTATAATGGGTGATTATGTGCTGGTGTAAAGTTACACTATGCAAATATGATGGTATTTGTGGTTTACTAATGTGTTTCTTTAATGCCACTGTCAATAAAGGTTTGAATTCAGTTATTTATAGCCCCCTGGTGAATATCTTTGGGGATACGGCCATTGACTGGGAAAGTTAGATGGCTTTACGCTCTGTTTCTGCATTTTGGTGGAAGGCTTGTGTTGACAGAGAAAACAAGGCTTCACAGATAGAGTTTCCACTCTCCCTACCCAAATACTACCCTCAACTAGACGGAAAAAAACGTACGTGTCCGCTGAGACCGCTGGCCACGCTCTGTGCATGTGTGCACAGGTACGAGGGGGAGGATTTTTAATGTTACATTTGTGTACCAAGCATAAATCCTTCAGAGACAGAAAGAGAGAGGGATTGGGTATTGATAGTTTCCTAAAAACATTCTTTCTGATTTAACACTTTGTTCCATGACAAGGTATTCCAAAAACTAGCAGCTACATTGTTATAAGATGTGTGGATATTCAAGGTAGCATAAAAGCTCACTTTGAAGAAAAGTTCTGAGACTATTTTCGCTGCACCATTAGGCTAAATAAAATAGGATTTTCTAAAAGACTACAAATCCCCTTTTAGTTTGTACACAAGATATTTCGTAATCTAATGGGAGGATAGTCATACACTTTTCCAGCCACATTGATGCTCCAGAGGGGGATTAACCCTTTTTTGTACTTAATGACACCATGGTTTTGTTTGCAACACAATACCACATCACATTAGCATGCATTGTGGGAGGCAATACGCAGTGAAGCCTCTAGAGTTTAACAGTTAGACAATAAGCCTAGTTATAAATCATTTCTGCGCAGATTTATTGTAGGATGACATTATGATTATCCGGGCTATTGGTCACACAGAGAGAAGAAGTGAATTAGTTCAAGCCATCTTTTGTTTGTGTTGTCTTGTGCCTTGAAGAGTGTGCAGAATAAGTTGGGGGCAATAATGTTTGACACTGTGTTAACAGTAACAACTAAAGTCAGAAGGAGAATGATAGAAATGCATGTGTTCACTTGTGTTTGTCAGATTCCGACCGCACCAGGATGCTGACCCTAACCGCCCCCGGGTTGCAGCAGTGATTGACACTCTGATCTCCTACAAGAACAACGATTTAGGAGCGTGGATACGGGGAGGGGACATCGTCATCCAGGACTCTGGGTAAGACAGATGAATGTCATGTTTTCAAAAGAACTGAGGACTGAGATGCACCACGACACCAAGTCAAATCCCTCGTACGTGTAAACCTACCTGGTAAAACCTGTTTCTGATTCTGACCATGATGACAATACCATGTGATAATCCCACTACACGTTTCTGTGAAGACACGGTTCACAGCTTGTAATTGTTGGGGAATCATTTGTCCTGCATGTCCTCCTTCGCCCTCTGACGCAGCTGACCAACCTTGAGCAGCCGTTATCTCCCATAAGGAGGGGCTGCCCTCGCATTTTGTTGATGTTGCTAGAGATAGTTATTGTTGTGGGACACCTGGAACACATCCTTCTCTGGGTGTAGATGACCCCGAGCCATAAGCGACAACAACTGTGATTCAGTGTCCTCAGCTGTTTAGTCTATCTATTGAAGAATGTTGATTATTACACTCTGAACTAGTTAAGACCTCGAGCTACAGGAGGGCTCTTCAGAATTGATTGTGGCATCTCTATCCTGTGGTCAAACCGTGGCCCGTGACATGTCGTGTGAATTCTCCGGCCGAAGCTCCAGATAAACCGTCAGTGTTTGCCATCAAAGCTCCAGCTCTCCTCATGTCTCTCTGAGTCCTGACTCCCCATTGCTTCAGAAGTTTCCCCCACAGTAATGAATGGCTCTTTTCCTCATAGTGCTGACTAACCTGGGATTCACTATTTGACCATGCACTTATTTTGCCTTTCCCTTGACAGATTTGCAGACAATGGAGTGGGATTGGCTTTTGCCAGGTGTGTACTTCTACATCCCTCTGCTCCTTTTATTCATGCTTTCACTTCTCCTTGCCAGAAGAACTTGCCAAATATGTATCAATAATGAGCTAAGAACAGCCACTTTGTCACATACATTTATTTCCTTAATAATTAAGAAGAAATGCAGTTTTTTTCTGTATTGTCCAATGTTAACATATATGTTGGAGATGATTTGTTATTTATTTCTACATGCCCTGATCTCCTTGTTTTCCTCCAGTGATGGCAGCTACCCTAAGGATGAAGGCTCCAGCCAGGAAGTGACACGGTCCTTGTTTGTGGGTGAAAGTCGAAACAGAGGAACCAACGGAGGACAGAATAAATACTGGGGCTTAGGAGGGGTTGATGCAAAGATGAGGACACTGCCTAGAAACAGGTGAGAGGGAGCGAACAGCAGGGAGCAGTGGCCGTTTCTCAATCGCGAGTAAACTTGCTGCAGAGCAACTATTTCAAGTATACTACGTCATAGAGTGGCGCAGAATGCTGGGCATTTAACATGCATTTAAACAGTCCTTCGGCGCCACTCGATGACGTAGTACACTTGAAATAGTTGCTCTGCAGCAGCTTTACTTATTGAGAAACGGGCAGGGAGGATACAAGGGGTAGTAACAAGGAAGGAATGATATATGTGAGGAATTAAGGGAAAACCCAAATGAATCTGAGTTTCCTCAGGAATTGCAGGGGTTGCTTTTGGAGGAGTTGGCAATGCACAAATATGCTGGGAAAAACAAACAAGGACGAGCGAGCCAGCAGAACCAGCAGGTAGTTGGACAGATGGACAGCGGAGGCTGCTGCAGCTGCTTTAACACGGAGCTGGACTTGTGAAAGGAAGTTCTGTTTGGACTGACTTCCCTCTAGTGATCATTTAGACAGTTTCTGAAAACGGTAGTGGCAACACTTGTGTGGTTTTCTAAGAAAGGGATTAGTCATTGTGGCATCCGATCACTTACGAGCAGTAAGATCTTTATCATAATTAGCTTTAACTAAATGATGTTCCTTTCTTTACATTTAGGAGCCTGTGAAGATCTTTCGGTACCACTTTACAATAAGACTACCCTTATAAAGGATTCATAAAGGGTTTATAATTAGGTTATGAATTAGGTTATAAACACTTTATTAATCCTTAAGAACCATTTATAAACCAGTTCTATACGTCAACACAGGCTCACTATTTGGGCAAGATGGCTAAGCCTTATATTGGCTACTTAGCGAGAATCAACTGAGTGAACAACAGATACCAAGGATGCTGGCTGATGAACAAGATGAAGTTAGCTAGGTAGCCAATATAAGGCTTAGCAGTACAGATAAATGTGGGCTCACTATTTAGCAAGCAACCGGTCACAGTCGCCCTGTTTATCTCATGTCTTATAAAAGCTTATTAATGATTTATAAAGTGTTCACAACCTAATTAATAAATGAATTACAAACTATTTGTAAACCCTTTATACGGGTAGTCTTATTGTAAAGTGGTACCGATCTTTCTATTAGCGATCCCATCGATGGGTAAACCAGACGGATGTTGCCCTAAGGACAACCCTTTGGATAGGATTTCCATTCTGAGGTTTATAGAGTCTCTCCAGGCTGTAATACCATGTTGGACTAAGTGGACGGCTCTAATGAGGCCAGATCTTTTAGACTTTACATCCCCTCGGGCTCTCTTCTCTCTGCCTTTCTCTGTCATTACAGAGATCGTTATAGCAGAGGAGAGACTTGCAAATAGCTGCCCATTTTAGTCTCAAGAACCCAGCTTTCTGTCAGGTTGTGACCGCCGCTGTCACCACTGTGTACAACTTTACAGCCATTTTACAGGCTCCCTGACCGCACAGTGACATCTGGCTCAGTCGGGCTGTCTGTGGTCACCGTGGTTACTGCCAAAACTGCTGACACTCTTTTTTCTTCTTCTTGCCAGTGAGAAGATATTTCCATAAAAATAAATGGATAATTTGATCCTTTAATTTTAGTTCCAAGGTTTCATTAATAGCAATTACATAAGACTTAGATCCTTGTCTGGCGGAAAGTGATGACTCAAAAAATAGAGATAGGAAAACATTTGTAAATTCTTTGTTATAATTATATCCCAAGAGCATACGTCCTGACTTAACCCTCCTAACATTTTCCATATATATAAGATTGTTGCTATTATTGACACTATTTCGCATAGTTCTTTTAACTATGATTCTCTAAGACTTATTGCTTAGTTTGTTCTTATAGTTCCTTTAAACACAAGATACAATTACATCTTCATTGACCATCATTTATACTTTACTAATGTTCAATAAATCAATCACATTTTATTTATATAGCCCAATATTACACATGTGCCACAGGGGGCTTTTACAATGTGTAAAGCATACCACACCCTTTGTGCTTAGACCCCTCAACTTTTGATGGGAAAAAATAAGGAGTCATTGTGGGGGGAACCTTTGGAATTGTGAAATTGTCTCACAGCCCATATGTCCAAGAATTATGAAGCACGTCATGTCTGAGGCAGCTGATGTCCTGCTCCCTATTGAGTCATGTTTTTTATTAACTCCTTTTCAAGTTTTGGGTTTAAGCCAATCTATGACAAACCTGTCAATTTCAATATGACTTTATCTGTCATTTGGCTTGCCTAATCGTGGATAACTCCCTCTCCATCTCCCTCTCCACTGTAGGACATTCCCAATCCGAGGTTTCCAGATCTACGATGGTCCGGTGCGACTTACCCACAGTACATTTCGTGGATACATCCCCACACCGGAGCGTTATACCAGCGCAGTGGGATTCAACCTGAAGAACACCTGGCAGCTCACCCCACGAAACAATCTGTCCCAGCTCAGCTTCCACCCCACTGTGAGCAACCGTCTATTTTTGACATCCAGGCACACTATACAGTTACTGATTTCATATTAGAATCACATAGACAAATGCAGTGTGATGCATCGTAACACTGAGTCAACACAGAGCTGTCCAACCTTTCACCTACATACATAATATTTACAATACTTTAGCCAAGTTATGTTTCAGTTGTGATCTTCCTTTAATGAGCTTGGAATAGCTCTTTACAGGCAGTGATTGGTGTAGGAGGTGTGTGGCGCAGTGGGTTGTGCGTTGGTGTTGAATCAGGGGGTCACAGGTTCAAACCCCACTGCAGTCAGCATGTCGTTGTGTCCCTGGGACACTTCACCCCAAATTGCTCCTGTGGGGATTGTCCACAGTGTTGAGTATGTTAGTCGCTTTGGATAAAAGCGTCTAACAACATGTAATGTAATGTGTAGGTTTCACTCCCAGCTATTCGATATGACCATATAACTTGGGGTCATGTGACATTTTAAAGTATCTACTCCCATGTGACAGGTTAGCACTTTGTACCTTTGTCTCTGTTTATCACTTTGTTGTGTTTGTTTCTGTTGTTGGGAATACAGTAGTTGTGAACACTGTTTGTATATTTTCTACCTTGCTTTATGTGTCAATCCTTTTGCTACACTGGGTTTGACTGTTTCCTCTTGAGCTGTTTGCTCCTGTTATCCTTCACCCGTGTAACCGTCCTCTCATATTGATTAAATCAGATGAGAGTCGTTGAGTTGGCAGTTGTTGAAAGCATTAGACAGAAGAAAGGAGAAAATAAGGGCATGTGGAGGAACAATTGTAAATCTCTGGTGCCATCTTGTGGTGGTAAAGAAAGTGCACTCACTTTTGTTAAAGGTAGGGTAGGTAAGAACGGAGAAACCAGCTCGAGTGCGCTAGAATTTGAAAGTACGCAGCCGAAATAAATCTGCCCCTTCCTTTAGACTTCCTCACAGAGCCCCTCCTCCAACACACACGAACGCACACATGACCAATGAGGGCAGAGATAAGTTTGTGCACAGATGGAAGGCTGACAGGCAGGTAGGCCATCCAGTTACTTTAGCCGGGCCGGCTCAGATGATTGGTCGTGCTTTTTACAGCGCCACGGCTTCCACAGATGAATTTTTTTAATGTATTTATTGTCAAAGCATTTAATGTATTCATTGCTATCGGGATGTTAAGAGCATCCCATGGAATATAACAAAAAGTGTTTCTGAAGTGAATTACCTACCCCACCTTTAAGTGAAAGATAAAAGCATTGGACAAGAAACATTTTTAAATATTAAATTGGAATTCAAGATGAATTGCTTCCTGCACAAGCAGACGTTCCCTTGTTGTAACTGACACAACCTGTAAGCTTTATGCAAATCATGCAGAATGACGTTGCCAACATGCAAATGAGTGTAACTTCATCTGGTAAATTAGCAACACTACTCTAATTTAAAAAAAGGCATTTTCTTTCAACCACCTTAAATCGAGCCTCAAAGTAGATCATACTCAGTAGCAGACAGCGTTGGATAATGAGGGCTTAGAGGGAACCACTATAAACTGAATTAATGAATTTCCTCACAGGGATTAATAAAGGTCCATCCTATCTTATCTTGTCTTAACACTGGTGGTGTCATTTTCTGTAGCCATTACATTGTGCAATCAGCATTTCCTTCCAAATGAAGTTAAAGGACAGCTTCTTAATCCCCTTTTGCAATTCATCTAATTTAAATGTTTAACTAATCCATATTGTCATTGTTAAACTCCTCCTTACAAAATGGATGCCTAGTGTTAAAAGAAATATAGTTGCGGTTATAACACTCTTTGTGAATATCACCCTCAGGTGGGTCTGCAGACGTTCTTCGGCCGCCCGGGGCAGTGGTTTGAAGAGAACGACCTGGACGGGGACAAAAACTCCATCTTTCACGACGTGGACGGCTCCGTGACGGGCTACACCGACACCTACGCCGGCCGAGCAGACAATTACCTGATCCAACATCCTGGCTGTGTGAACGTGCCTCAGTGGAGCGGAGTGATCTGCAGCGGACGCTACTCTCAGGTACAGCATGGTGTACCTCATTATTATCCCTCTGTCCTCCCTCATGTTAAATGTTCACACTTCCTGACTTTGATGGAAATTCATGAGCTGCAACACGTGGAGAGATAGGTCACCTAAGACCTACTTAAATGATTCATAACATGTAAAGGACGAAATATGTATAAAGTTTTAATATGAATGAATAATTGATGTGAATACTATTAGATAGGACACTGACCTTTCCTCCTCTTCCTCTCCCAGGTGTACATCCAGACCCAGGGATCCCCTAACCTGATCCTATCCATCAGCAGAGATGAATACCCAGCTGCCCCTCTGGTTCTGAGGGGGATCAACAGCCAGGGGGCGCTGTCTCAGCAGTACCAGCCCATCCTGATGATGAGCAAGAGCTACAGCCTGCACTGGAGCGGACCTGCACCCAGAGAGGTGGTGCTGTCGCTCATCAACTTCGACAAGTGAGTAAAGCTTCAGTGCGTGGACGACACGCCTGCTGCAAGTCAGGGGATTTCTGCATTATGTATTTTTTTCTTTCTTTGGATGTAACACCTTAATACTTTAAATACTTTACATGGCCTTTCTTTTTTCTTTAAATCTTTATTTGGAGTCAAATAGTTTACATATTATATACATATATGTATTACAGTGATTCTCAAATGGGGGTACGGTACGCGGACCCCTAGGGGTACGTTGGGGTACTGCAGAGGGTACGTGAGATTTTTTTTAAAACAAAAAAAAGTTAATTTAAAAAATACCATGCATGATTACAAAAATAATCTTAGTACAATAAGTTAAATAGAAAACACAATTTTATATAAAATATTCCTAGAACCACCTCATATAAACATGTCAAATGTAAAATGAAAATATCCTTAGTTTGTTGTAATGCATGCATGAAGGAGTAAATAAATCACACACTGAGGGAACATCACTATATTGGAATTATTTGTATAGGGTTTTTCGATCAAAAATGTTCGAGGTCGGTCAGGGGGTACTTGGCTGAGAAAATGTTTCAAAGGGGGTACATGACTGGAAAAAGTTTGAGAAGCACTGATGTATTATTATCTCTTTCGACTCCACTTCGAGCGATATAATTATTAACAAAGCCAGGGCTCGACATTAACGACTGCCCGATGGCCCGGGGCCATCGAGTATTTAGCTCGGGCAATGAAGCCTCACCTGCTGGTTGCCCGATCGGGCAATCTATTATGCCAGTATCATGCAGCTCGCGGATCCAGTAATGAGTGACCCGACAGTAAAACTAAACATATCTATAACTAGTTCAGGTAGTTTGAGAGGTCATTAAAATAGCTACGTGTGATATTCTAACCTGAAGTGTGTGTTTTGTCCCCTCACCGCTGCAGGTGATCATGCAGAGCCTGCTCAGCTGATCTCTCTCTCCCGTCAGATTAGACTTCACTCGCGTTTATGTCCATATCGATCAGATCCAGCTAGTTCTAGCTAATGATATGACTACCTGCTTATGTTAACTGTGATGGTTATTCTCGCGTCCAGGAAAGAGAAGCTTAAAAAGGAGACTAAATGGAGTCTCTGAGATGTTTTCAAATTGGTACTTTAATTAATAAAAAAGGCGCGGTAAAGTCACAAACAGGATATTGTCCGACAGAAAAGCAGCTGCCTCTGGCCCTCGCTAGCAGAGAAAAGAGGCCGAACCGCCCAGGTGCTGCTGTTATATAGCTTCTGCAGGCTCCTCCCTGGGGGCCGGCTCTCCGACTATTTAATGTCCGTTGTTACATATATCACAGTATACAGACATTGTACATTCAATATATATCTAAACACTCCTTTTCTCCTCCTTAACTCTTTCATGACTTTCCATTCAACACATTCCAAACGCTGTAATCAACACTCCAAAAAATACAGGAAATCCTTCACAGCAATTCGATTTCCGGTCGCTCCGAATGTTGTGACATGCTACCCACATCTGTAAACGATAACGTACTCAAATAAACTGTACCTTCATTTAATATCCAACAATAATAATATCTCGACGTCTATAGTTGTAGTGTTGAAATCAGTAGGTTTCGGTGTGCAACATCATATCATATCGCTGCTAAATTCACCTCTATAGGAAATGGTATATTAGCCTCATGCTAAATGCTAACCGGAGGTGAAGGATTTTCAGAATAAAAGTCTAACTGGTTGTGCACAAGAACTTCTGGTTTTTCAGTATAAAACAGCATTTAAACTAAAGGTACATTTAAGGTACATTATGCCATCAAAACATTGATTTTAATTTCTAACACTTATTAAAAGACACCTACACAATAAGTGTGGCTATGCAACTGGGTGAGGTCACAAAGTATAGCGCAGCATTATGCATTTGTTTACATGCCCACCGGAACCCCGAGGCATTACCAACAGATCAACGCACAATCAACCCATACAGGACATCTCTTTCTCCACATTAAGTGTTAGACATTAGAATTGACTCTTCTTGTCTGTCACATAAGTGGCGCAACTGAAGCGGTATTGCGCTAAAGGGAAATAATTTTGACCGGACATTTTGACCGAAGAGATTTAGATTTGCCGGCTAATGGGAACTATGACGTCGCCATTTTGTGTGCTTCGCGGATGCGCTCGGCTCCTCTCGACTGCTGCTCGGTCAGCTTCCGGATGAGGAGGCATTCGTTCGACCAACTTACAGTAGATAACATTACAAACATTTTTAACAGGGTTCATACTAGTGTAAATAATGTTTGTTTTGGCATTAATAACTGAATGTAATGTTTTCTACTTTTTTACATCTGATGAAGGCATTTGCCTTCATCAGATGTAAAGTGTCTTGACCAACAACTTAAGTGTTTCTTATAGCTATGCAGGGCATGCAAGCGAGCACACACAAACAAGAACAAACAAACGTGAAAAGTGAAATGAAGAATAAAATTGAAATTGTACAATATAATATTGTGGTGGTTCATCTTATAATTCAGTCTAGAGAATGCACCAGACAGCATCTAAGACCTGCACAAATCTACATTTTCTAGGGGGAGGCCCCCCAAACCCTTCGTGCCATTTCGTCCGCACGCATTTTTCAGGGCAATCTCTATTGGGCTCAGGGCCATCTGTAAATTAGCTTAGATGGCCCACAGGGCCTGAAAGCACTTATATACTAATAAAGGACTGGCTTACCTAAAGCCAGTTGAGTAGCACTTGAAATGTTTGGCTCTATGAAACCTGATGTACTTATATGATTCTGTTTTCTTCAAGGTTGTGTCTTCCTGGTCGAATGCACTTATTGTAAGTCGCTTTGGATAAAAGCGTCAGCTAAATGCAATGTAATGTATTATATGACAGTTGTACAAGTATCATCCGTTAGAGCAGGGGTGTCAAACTCAAATACAAAGTGGGCCAAAATAAGAAAATGGGTACTAGTCGAGGGCCGGACTGGTTCAATGTTTATTGCAAAACATATTAAACTGAACTTATTGCACATATTAAACCTGGAACTAACAAAGCTTAAATGATTGCCTATAAAAACATTAAACATTAAATAATCACATTTCTTATGGCTCTATCTGCAGCTTTTCCAGAGTCATTTCTTATGATTAAATTTCTCCACAGGCCAACAACAGCTTCAACAAAACTATTTCCCTCAAAGAACAAAACAAACACTCCCTGTTGTCTCAAGAAAGAAAGTGCAGAAGGAAACATCCATTAAACTCAGTGTGCTGCTCTGTGATGCTAGCTCAAGCAGATACTTGGCATCTCATCTTGGGTGCAAGGTCATCAATGTTTGGGCTCAGGCTCTGAGCTGAGGAGACCCTCAGGATGGAGTGAAGGTGTGCGTGCAATATACCGGCGGGCCAGATCTAATAGTAATTAGAAATGATCCTGCGGGCTGAAATTAAATCCACCAAGGGCCTGATTTGGCCCCCGGGCCTTGAGTTTGACACATGTGCGTTAGATATATACAGGGATCCATCTTTAAAAAAATATATATAGTATAATTACACACAACTAAAGCAACTACAAACAGAACAAGCCAAGAGGTGTGTTTCTGTTTTGAGAGAGAAAATACAGAATTCAAAAACATTTACAAGCTAAGGATGGCCATCTCTGGAAAAGATATGACTTGCTGTAATATCTTCAACGGGTAAATTAGGATATTGTTTCCTGAGAAAGCAATGAAACGACAACGATTAAATTAGTGTTTAATACATTTTTGTTTCGATCCCATTAGAACTATGCAAAGCTTTTAAAACGTATTCACAAACCAGGCTGTCCTAACATCTTCTACTATTTCTATATGTTTTTTGGAGAACGCCTCTCAGATGTAATGACTGTCTTTTTCTCTTCCTCCTATTTAGAGATGACTGGGCGTTGGTGGGACTCTGTTACCCATCAGACACCACGTTTCAGATTATGGCCGACATCAACGACAGGCAGAGCAACACCTTCGATGACCTCACAGACTACGGCACCGTGTCATCCTTAGCAGAGCTGGAGAGCAGGCCGATGGAGAGGAAGTACTACTTTGACCGAACTGTTGGGTGAGAACATAAAACAAATTCCAATCCTCTCTATTGCAGTGGGTTCAAAAAGGTCTATGTTGACTTTCGGGAAGAGCTGTCTGAAACTTCTTTCATCTCTGTTTCTCTCATTTCATAAAGTGTTTTTAACTGTGGCCATTTCCTCCCGTTCTCCTTCCATCACGCCCAGCTTGTTGTGGTTCTTCCTTCGGGCTCGGCACGGTCGTGAAGGTCACAGCTACTGTTCATCAAAAGGCTGCGAAAGAGTGAAGGTCATGGCCACCACGTCCTCCAAACAGACCTGTAACTGCACAGCCAAAGCCTACCCCAAGTACTCCAAGACCCCCTCAGTAGTGGTGCCTATGCCGTCTCTCAATACACAACCCTGTAAAGGCTGCGGTGCTAAAAAGGTATGAGTTGCTTTATTTATTTAGCTATTATTATAATGTTTTTGTATGTCTGTTTTTCCTCTGTCTGTGTGGGGTTTTGTTTGCCATGGTGTTACGCAGTATTTACATTGTTACTCTACCTATTGTTCTATAAAGTGAAGATTTGTTTACCTACTTTTCATACATGCTCTGATAGAATGACCGTATGCTGTTGAAAAAACCCAATAAACAAGTTAAAACATTGACGATAATTTACTTTAATCTCTCAAGCCATCATTGCTGACCAGTGTGTCTCTGCCTCAGCTTGTGTTTTCCAGTGAGCCATGGACCTTCTACCTCCAGACACAAGTCAAGTCTCTCAGCAGCAAAGAGCAGCAGAAAGGAGATAACAGCTCCTATATCACTGTAAGAATTACTTATCGAAACACAACATATGATCACATTATCTACTTCTGATGTTTTGAGTCAGGGTTCATTTAACATCGATCTCCTGTCAGGTGAATGAGGTCACGATGCCCTTCTCTCAGCCTGGATATTTCCTGGTCTCAGTGGACGCCTGCTCGGGGAAAGTCACCAAGAAAACCTCATTTGCAAAGATGGACGCCAAGATGGAACAGTACCTAAAAACTGGAATACCAAAGAGGTGAGCCAGGGGAAATAGGTGCTCACACTACTGCATTTGCATTTTTTGAAAAGGACATGCAGCAGTACCACACTTTGAGACATCTTGTTCTATTTAGTTCAATACAACAGTCCAGTATACAGGGCAGGCAGTAACTCAGTCCGTCTGGCTTGGGAACCAGTTGGTCACTCGTTCAAGTCCCCACTAAGACCAAGATAAAAAAAACACCTTTGCATTAATGCGTGTGTTTATGCATGTGTAGTACTCAGGGTTCTTACGGTCATTAAAAACCTGGAAAAGTCATGGAAATTCAAAATGCTAATTCCAGGCCCTGGAAAAATTATGGAAAACAATATATTTCCCAAAGTTTTGGAAAAGTCATGGAAATGTAACTAAAGTTTCATCAAATATAATTTATATGTTATCTAATCCCCGAAATAGTAATACTATAATGATAATAAATACTGTATCGTATAGTAATGAAACGTAAAATGGCATTTAACTGACGAGGTATTTTGCTGCTGAGAGATTTTAGTGGCTTTAGCCTGTAGGAGCTAGTAAGCCTATTTGATTTGTTTTAGATAGACACAACATGTTTCATATGCAGACCTTATTTTCCTGTTCCATGTTAAAATAAACCATTTTCAGTGGTACCGCTGAGAAAGAGTACTTTTTTTGGTCATGGAAAATTAGGTAAAGGTCCTGGAGAAGTCATTGAAAATCATTGGTGAAAAAGTGTATGAACACTACTGTATTACAAGAGAGTGAAAGCTGAATTTCCCCTAGGGTTATAATAAAGTATGTCTTCATGAAGTCGTTTTTTATGCGCATTCTTGCCAGGTCTATCGTACTTATGGCGACACGAGGTCAACCAGAAGGCCTCGTTAGTGTGGCACCACATCTGGTCTCCTTTGGAATGGCCAAAGCTGCTGATCTGCACAGTAAAGGTTAGTGACACACTTACAGTATACAATCATTCATTTGTCATCACTTTTTCTTAAAGGTCCCCTATTATACTGTTTTTCATCAACATATTATAGCTCTCAGATATATACAAAACATGTCTCTGATTGGCTCCAAACACCAAACAGATCATTGCAGCATTACCCATAATCCCCTCTGTTTCAGCCCTGTTTCAAAAGTGCTGATTCTCTGTCTGTTACTTTAGATGAAAATAAGGAGCCCCTCCCCACGCCCCTCTGAGAGAGATTTGGTTAGAAAGAACACAATGGTGCTCTAGGAGGAGATTCAGGTGATAAGGTGGGGGGGGGGGGTTACCTTGGTTGGTGATTGGCTAAAAAGCTACAAAATCGTTATGACATCATAAAGTGGTCAAAATCTGATCAGCTCATTTTCAGACAGGTTTTTATAGAAATGGATCAGGACAAAAAGAGAGGGAATCTTTTTTCCTGAGACTTTCAGAATCTCACACATGGTTATGTAGAAGAGACATGAACAAGTGGATTTTGCATAATAGGTGACCTTTAAGGCAAAGTCTGTCTTACTCATACATCTTTATTGCTACCTCCCACCACAGAGAGTCTGGCTCTTTGGGGGTTCCAGGGGGGTTCTCCGCCCCCTCCGTGGGTCTGGCTGCAGGCCGGGCAGGGCGACGAGGTCCTGGGTCTGCAGGAGAGATACCTGCCTCTGGGTCTGGAGGCTCACGGCTGCACCCCCCCTGCGGCTCAAACACGCAAAGACCTGGAGCTTCTCAAAAAAGCCACGGGACAACAATGACCAATGTGAACTACACAACTTAACTACCCAGAACTTGCACACAGATACACACACAACCAGCTGATGAATGTGAACTGCTGAACCTTTAATTTATTTAACAATGGCAAATATGTTTACTGATTCCATGTGGAGAGAAGGTATTTTATAATGACTGGGTGAGTATTTTTGTGATTTTGTGTGTGTGTTTGTATGTATGCCTTGGGGCCGTTGAGTCAATGCACTTTTCCTTTTAAAGACACAACTTGCCTTATCAGCCAAAGTGATCACATGGAGCTTTATAATAACTCAGCTGTTTATGTTGGAACAGAAAAGAAAAGAAACCCAAAGCAACCTTTAACATTTACAAACCGATCCAATTATTTATAATGCACTAAATGAATATCGAGTAAATTGGATTTAATCTAAAAACAGAACACAATGCATTAGATCAGGGGTGTCAAACTCATTTTCATCTCGGGCCACATTCGCATTATGGTTGCACTCAAAGGGCCGGTTGTAACTTTAAGACTATATAAAACTACATATATAAATATTTAATATATATAAAATAATGTATTATATTACATGATTGCCTCTGCATTGGATTATTATCAGATAGGGTAATAACTTCATAATTAACTCGGTCTGAAAGCAGAAGTCTGGGGCAAATAATTGCAAATCTCTTCAGTGAGAACGTCACAAAATGATTTAAAAAGAAAAGCAAAATAAAAAGTGACATTTTGAAAAAAAAGTCAAATCTGAGAAAAAAGTCAAATTTGAGATGCATTGTGGGACATGTAGTTTATGGGCAACGTGCTTCTGTAAATCGCCATGTAACCGTATAACAAACATAATATATTCTTTGCACGCTCTTGTGGGGCCACAGAAAATGAAGTCGCGGGCCGGATTTGGCCCCCGGGCCTTGAGTTTGACACCCCTGCATTAGATACACACAAGCCAGGAGGAAGTTATGAAAATAAATGGCATTGTCCCTGAAATGAGACCGTGTTCGATTGGAACAGAAAATTAAACAAGATGGATGAGAGGAGCTCAGGTCAAAGGGAAGTAATGAAAGAACACGCCATTGGGAATCAAGCATCAATATTAAGCCAAAAATGAACATGTTAGACACCTAGATTCTTTAAAACTTAGTCAAAACAAGCCATATTGATGACTAGATTGTTAATGCGTATATAGACATTTGACTTATATAGACTTGACATACACAAATGTTATTAACCCTTAGATGAGGTGGTTTTCTTGAAGTATCTTTGTAATTACATTTTAAGAAATTGTAGTTTTTGTATTTCTACCCCAAGCTTCCATAAGTGGGTCAAAAATGACCAGCGTGCATTTTCTATGGCATCCTATGGGAACCTTTGATTATTATCACCTGTTGCTGTCAGGAATAGGTTAGGTGGGGGGTATAGGACTATCAAACTTGATCAACCGGCATGGATTGATGGGGGGTGGGCTATGAGTAGACAAGAGGAGAAGAGATGAGTTTTGAAAAGGGACTGGAATACTGTGAGGGTCTGAGAATAGCGGAGATCTTTGCATCGATATGTTCAAAATGTCAAAAAAAATCTAAAATTCTAAATAGTGAAAAATTAAATATTAAATATTTCTAGTGTGAACCAAAATATAATACTAAATATTATAAAAGTGATTTTTCTTAACCAAAATGACAAAAATGGCATAAAAACACATATTATGAGTCCTTTTTGACCCACTTATGGAAGAGTGTAGGGTCCAGTCACTCGTGCATCTAAGGGTTAATAGATAGGTATTATAATGTACGCCATTGCTGTCTTTCCACTTATCCTCACACACGTCGTTTGAGTTGATTTCTGAACTGAATCTTTAACTGGAAAACCTCCTGATCATCGTGCAGCTGTACAACTGAAGACTTTAAGCACCTTTTTTTAACGGATTCCTACGTGGACTTACTGGAACTTTGATCTCATACTTTTATTTATCTCTTCACAGCGATGGTGTCTCAAGTGCTGGCCACATGTGCAGCACAAATACACCTATATATACATTCTTTTAATGTTGTTGTTTTTCAAACGGAATTGAATGTTTTACCTTTTAATCTGCCTCATACATGATCTCTTTTATGTGCATTATTGCCAATGATGTGTTTAGTTATATTACAGGGTGACGGTTGGCATCCTGACTGTACAGTAGTGAGCGACACAATGCATACAGATCATTTACCAGCTGTACAGTAAAAGGCTTTAAGTCGAGGCCTACAGTATGTCATCTTTAAAGGGTGTACGGATGTGAGCAGGGCTCCCCCACTGAGCAATGGTGTGTGTGTGTGTGTGTGTGTGTGTGTGTGTGTGTGTGTGTGTGTGTGTGTGTGTGTGTGTGTGTGTGTGTGTGTGTGTGTGTGTGTGTGTGTGTGTGTGTGTGTGTGTGTGTGTGTGTGTGTGTGTGTGTGTGTGTGACTGATCATGTGAGACAGAGAGATTCTCTGGATGACAATGACCTTGCCTTTTAACCACTCTACTGTTAAAGAGAGCAATAGAAAGAGAGAGAAAACGTTTCCAGCCTTTTGTTCAACTGTTGCTTTGAAGATGCACAACCAGAGAGTTCTTATTGTTTCTTTCTTTGTAAATATGGTGTTTAATGTTGTAACTAAAACTGTAATAGAAATGTCCAACAGGTTGTCAATAGTGTTTATTTTCTTTGTGTTTGTCATTTGAAATATGTAAGCTGTTTCTTTCAACGTGGAAACTCAGCATTTGTTATGAAACTGCCAATTAAATAAACTTTGTGATAAAATCAGTATCGTTCTTTGGGAGCAGTATCGATAAGAGAATATCCTCAATGTGTCTGCCTTTTGCATCCGATATAAAACCTACCTCTTGGAGGCAGCGTAGTATTGGAAATAAATGATTCTACTCCTAAATTCTTCTTCACACATTGAGATGCTGAAATGAAGACAGTCCAGTGAGTTGTGACGGTGAGAGAATCAAAGGTGTAAGACCTGTAATTGTACGGATTACCTTACTTCTGGAACGGTAATACAACGGTCAGTTTTTCCAGCTGAGGGTAGCTTAAAATACACAAACAAAACACTTTATTGCTTCACAGCAGCCCCCAAAACATGGAAGAGGCCAGGGTGAGTTTTAATGAGCCCCTAGAGATCAAAGTAAACACCTTCTATCAAACATTCAACTCTAGTAACACAAATATATGACAAGATGAAGTGCAGTAACGTTACTACTTTAAATGATGTAGGAGCAAAATGTATAAATTCATAGGGGCAACCTGTTTCTAATGTCAGCAGCCGTTAACACAGCAAGGTAACTGGGTGCAGAAGCATTTATAGATTCAGTGACCTGCCTCATAGCCCAGGGAGAACGACCGTTTCTGTGTGTGCCCGTGTGTGAAGATCCTTGACAAGAAGAGGATATCAAAACTGTCACTGTCCAAAGAAATATGGTGCAGTCCTAACAGACCCCCGCACACCATATGGAGCCTCAGATAGTGAATGAACTTGTCCATAAAACTGCCTCTGACCATGAAGACTGAGCTCCCACACACTCCACGTCATTCTGGAAATGAGAGAGGACAGATTGGTGTGACACACTTTGCAGGCAAAACAATGCACAATGAGGACAGCAGCAGCTCCACTGACACCCATGCATCTGCCATAAGGAGGAGAAACACACACACACACACACACACACACACACACACACACACTGCATCTTTCTCATTGTTTCTCAATCTGGGGAACCCTGTTTTTTTACGCCTGGGTGTATTCAGAATTCACATTGACAAATCCACGGTGACAATATTTCCATCAGATCTGCCATTGCCATTATTTTCTAGAGCTGTGTGCATGTGGGGTGACATTTATATATATTTTCTTTTTATAATCCTTTGATGATTATGTTTCTTTCACATAGATGGACTGAGCGTTCTTTACAGTATTAATTATGTAACGCTCAAGCTTTTGAACTGTGCAAATACAATTAGATAAATGCCAAGGCTAAAAATATAGTCACTGTAGAGATGTGTGTGTGTGTGTGTGTGTGTGTGTGTGTGTGTGTGTGTGTGTGTGTGTGTGTGTGTGTGTGTGTGTGTGTGTGTGTGTGTGTGTGTGTGTGTGTGTGTGTGTGTGTGTGTGTGTGTGTGTGTGTGTTAGCCTTTAGCGATATGCTGTGTACATTTTCATGAGAAGGATGGAGCTATAGCAACACGAAACTGAAATGTGACACTTTCCAACCGTTCTTGTAAAGGTTAAAGATTAAACAAATCTTGCCCTATAAGCTGAAGTTTAAAATAATTTGGGTTTTTATGATTTGCTGGGCAAGCTGAAATAGTAGTTATAACAACATTAATTAATTAATGACATTTATTTTACACTAATTATTATTTTTAAAAGGGGAAAGAATGACATTTGCCAAAAAACTAATTGCACTGAAAACAACATTTTCAATGAGGGAAAACACAACATCAAGACATGTGTCGTTTGCTTGTCATAAGCATTTGTTATCATTAAAAGGAAATATATTAAATAATTGAACATTCATTGATTCAGGTGTAGTTTAACTGCTCAAAATAACAAATATCTCCATCTGAGAAGGCATGTTTGCTAATATGCTAAGCTAGGCTAGTCTTAGCAGGGTAAACCTTTACTTGGATGTTTTTATTAATCATGGCTGGCTACAACCTGATTTGTATGGGATAAAAACTTCAAATTTCAAACATGGTGGTCGGTCATCATTTATATATTTAAATTGCAAACGTTTGGTGGGAAAGTACGTTCATTAGCTTTAGGCCGTGCTCAGTACTCAAGTTGTAAAAAAAAATCAGGGGGGATGGTGGATTTTATCATATGGGGACATAATTTGTGCTGATAACCCGCCGAGGGTGGGAGACCAACCAGCATAAAGATAATTATTATACTCCTAAAACAACATGCATGTTATGGATGTTCAGATACTCCTTTCATTGCTCTTGACCAAGGCACCTCAGAATTAGAGTCGGTCCCCGGGCTGCCATGGCACCACTAACATGTAGGGTCAAATGCAGAGGACAATTAGTGCAAAATCTTTTTTTCACTTTAATTTAAAGGGGGGGAGGGGATACAGAAATGTGGTTATAATGGAAGTATATGGTACAAATCTTGTAGGCTAACAGTCCCTCATTTATTATTCAGATGGATCAACTGATTATACTAATAATAAAGTCAAAATAGTTTTTAGAATATTGAATTATAGTGTATTTTTTCAAAAAAGCAGTTACTGGTATACGATCAAAACTGGTATCTAAAGGGTTACATTTGTATCGTAATTAATTAAATCATTATGTAAATTCTTCATGAAAAATGTGAGGAAAAAAATTAGAAAAATATTGATCCGTCATCATTTTATTGCAGTTCAAATACAAATATTTTATGTTAACATTCCCAATGTTACTTTTTTTAACAGGGCATTAAGTGCAAATTGAAATTGTTTACAAAATATGAAAATATATTAAAAGATTATACAGATAATACAAAATAGGACCAATGTTGTCAATGGCTGCCTACTCCACTCTCCCCCATCTCATAGAAGTTTCCAAAGATTTTCATAATCATGCTTTTTGGTCTCAATTTTTCTGGCTCTTGCTTTCGGATTGTTAGCTAAGCAATGGCTTTGAAGCCAAGTCTTGACATACCTCTGGTCTGAACTTGTTCAGTGGAGGGCCAACACTTGATGAAAAGCTTCTAGTTGTGGTTAAAATGTTCATCTGACTAAACCCACGTTCACACTCAGCTGTGGAGATGACCAGAGTGTTCACTGCTTGAAGGAGGGGTTTCAGCTCTTCTGGGGCTGGTGGTATCATTTCATCAACAGTTTTGAGTCTTACCAGCTAGCTAACACGAGAGAAAAACGTATAACTCCAAACTAAGTTGTTATTGCTGCTTATGTCCATAGATTCCACCTTTGGTGACTAAAGTAATGAGTAATGACCAGGGGCGTTGCCTGGACCTGGAAACATTCGGGGCTTAGCCCACAGTGGCGGCGCTACAGTCGAATTTTCTACTGCAAGACTCCCCACACGCACATACACAATTGCGCCATCTGGTGTCACAAGCGTGTGTCTGCATTAGCTTTGTTACGGCAATGGACTGTGGGAGATTCTCATAGCACGTGAGGATCTCTTGAGGGTAAGGTGCCTGTATTATCTCGGGGGACAAAATGTATGTTTTTATTTTACAAGGACAATAACGTACTGTTGTTTGTTTAGTTTAATGTTAATTGTTTAATGCTCACAGTCACAGCAACATGTTTTTGTGTGATTGGTTTTATATGATTTATCAACGTGATCATCAGCTAATCTGAGCACCAGAACCCAGCTCACGTGTCGTTTTATGCTGTCCATTGAAATGCAGGAAAGTAATCACCAGCTCTGAGTGATCTGTTGCCGAGGAGACACTACACCGGAGTTACATAAGCAGAGATAAAGTGCTATTTTGAGGGAACTCACCTCCTCTGGAGTCCAGGGGGAAGAATTTTTTTAAATGTTGAAGTTAAAAGCATCAATCTTGTGCACTTTGAGAGCAACATTAAGAGATATGGATACATCTCTCAACACCCATATGTCAACAAAAATCAAAGAATCAGAATCAGAAACGGGTTTATTATTTAAAAACACTTTATTTTTCAATTAAATCATAAACTATGTCAAATGATTAGAAGTTGTTAGTAATCAGATTAAACAGAAAAAAGGGATGGAAGGAGGAAATAATAATCCCTCATCACTTGCTGTTTGCGGTTGAAATGATCTCTTTTGCTGGCCAAACATGCTGGATGGAAAGCCGTGATGTCTCACTTGCCTTGGCCCTCTATCTGCTGTCCCTAAATCAGTCATGTTACCCATTGACTCTTGTCTGTTCTGGTGTTCCTGTTCATTGTCGTCTCCATTGTCGTTCTTATCTGTTGTATCTCCTTCTTGTGTGTCCCTTTCTCCTGTTCTCCTTTCTTCATCCTCTACTCTGTTTGGCTCATCTGTGATGACTGTGTAGGTAAACACAAACAAGTATGTAAGTCAATCCGTTTCCAGCTCTGTCAAATAAATGAATTTTAAGATACACAAATGTGTCTTCATTAAAATGAGTGTCACCACACTGTCACACAATGTAATACTAACCAATTGAAAATAGTTAAATGTACATCTCTTGTAGATATCACTGTTAGAGTAGTTATCTGCCAATAGGACATAATCATTCCTATACAAATGCAGTTTGAGTAATTCACTTAATATATTCACTTCATACTTTAATATATTCATTTTCACTTGATACTCTAATATAGTGATCTTTCTGCATTCAAAACTAAGGAAAGCTGTACAATTTGACATGATCATGAGGAAAAAAGGCCTCCGACAATGCAGATCATTTTGTGATCATATCAATTTTAAGATGGGGGTCAAGGCTTAATATTTGGGAGCATAGTGTCCCTTGCCCCCTTTCAGGAGCCCCACTTGATTAGCTTTGATCTGAAAGCTTGTTAGCTGGCTGTCCATCTCATAATGTACACATAGAAACTAGCTGTCAATAGGAATATCAATCAGAAGAATTATAATTTCATGCAAAAATCTGTCACAAAAAGAGGTTGCACATTTAAATTCAGGTGTTGTTATGGCAACGTCAGTGGCCAGACAGCCACATGTACTGCTGCAAATACGTTCAAACATGCTGTTGACACGTAAAGCAGTGGCAACTATGCCACCATTTCAGCTGACTTTTCCTCAGAAATACCGTCACATAACATCCATATATTTCA